GATTTTGTATACAATCAAAAATGCAGGAAATGTTAACTGTACTGCTTAAAATGTTAATAAATCAATCGCTTTGGCTTTAGTCATATAAGCTTATGCAAGGCCCGAAGCAAGCAGAAAAGGAGGGAGACTAAGGGCAAATTAAAGCAAATGATTTGCATGAAGAGGGTTTGCTTTGTCCAGACAGAGTCACATTTAGAGGAAATAACGACATTCTCTCAATGAATTGGAAACAAAGGTTTTTGTTGTGTAAATCTAAATGATTCAAAACGCATACCCCCAGTATTCAGTGAAAAAATGCTAATAACAAACTCCAATATCAACTAAACTACTACACAAATAAAGTTACAGTGCCGGACCAATCATATCGTAAAGAACTTTTCTTCCATGATTTGTAGGCAGATCTTTATCCGTAAATCCACAAAAAGTCAACGTCTCACAAAAAGTCAACGTCTCACAAAAAGTCAACGTCTCACAAAAAGTCAACGTCTCACAAAAAGTCAACGTCTCACAAAAAGTCAACGTCTCACAACAATCTGATTTTATGCTGAATATTTTGTTTACAGTTAAATCGAACTTTCACCTGGGGCTTGTTGAGGGTTCTCGCATAGATTTTATTCACTCCCCCCTTTTAAGTAGCATTCTCTAAATCTTCCTGCCTTGGTAAGGCTATATCCAGGTTCAATATTAAATAATTCAACTTGACATGACATGTGTCCTCGAAAACGAATTCATTCATCTGGGCAAATTATCTATGAAAAACCGGCACCTTTTCACAGAAATAATCGTGCTTCAGTCTGATCTTCTGGCACCCTGGCTGCAATAAACATCATTTTTATATCAAAAACGATTGCCAGACAGATGTTTATCAAGCATGCAGGAAAAATGCCGACTGTCCAGGTCACAAATTTAAGTCTGAACGTTAAAGTCTTGAAATAAAGCGGATCATACCATAAGAGTCAGAGCCGTCAAATGCGTTTTGAATTTTGAGGGTTGCAGGGAAAGAAGAACAAATATAAACAAAATGCGAGTAACCATATACAGTTTCAGGGTTTTAATGAACCAGGGTTTATTTCCACAAAAAGGATAGATATTGCTACTATACTGATGAAAGTGGTGACCTGTTGGGGTTGCTTGCTTCCAGATTTTTCAAAAAGGCTATGAATTATAGCAGTAATATGATTTGTCATACATCGAGGAAAACACAATTGTTTCTAGTAAGACTATGCAAGGTGTGGCCTTTGCCCTGTTTAAATTATGAAAAAGCAAACTTCTTCTAGAAAGCATTTTGGGTTCATTGTTCACCGATTCCAATCATTTTAGGATTAGACCACCCCACCTGCTGTCGAATTTGTAGATGCACTTGGAAAACTCGAGAGGAAAACTTGAGAGGTAAATTCGAGCGGAAAACTCGAGTGGGAAAACTCGAACGTATGGGAAAACTCAAGAAATTTCGTTCCGTCGGTAAAAATGTAGCAGAAATTAATGTTGTCTATCGGAAAAAACAAACTCATATACTGAAAATAATTTAGAGCATGACTTATGGAGGCTTGCTGAATCTAAAGTTAGCACTTTCTAATTATGGCTTAATCTAGCAAATAAAAGTCTTCATTCGTTGAGATTTGGCCCTGGCGGAACGAACAAAACATCGTTCATCAAACATAAAATATCATCCAACATTGTTGGAAAGAACATGTTCTATTCCTTTGGCCACTATGTCTTGATTGTTTGAAAATGTTTCAAAACGTGTGTTGATGTTTTACGAATATTAATGTCAATCAAACATTTTGTAAAACATATTTTCTGTTCTCACGTTTGATCAACAATATTCGTTTGGCCACCCCTTACAACATTTGCTCTACACAGGCATGACAGCGCCCTTGATCTACACAGGCATGACAGCGCCCTTGATCTAGTTGAATGCCAATTTTAAGGCAATGCTATTTTGTCATGATATTACGTCAAGAGCATCGCTTACCTTTTTTATCATACTTTCAAAAGTAAGTTGAAATATGACCTGCTGAAATTAGCTCTTCGTGCAGCATGGATTTGAAACTCAAAATGAAAGAAGGAAATGATGCAGTTAAAGCGCTGACAAACTTGAAAAATTTTGGTATTGGTACACTTACTGAAGGTTTTTTCGGGGCAAACAGCATTAGAATTGAGAGTAAATGTGGCAAATATAGTATAAAGAAAGGCAGCTGAAATCAGGACAATTTGGGAGCAAAGAGAGACAAGCTACAAAATGTACGTTGAAATATATTGCTTTAATCAACTGACCATATTAAAAGCCTGGAACGGAGACGATATGTTTCTATAAGATAAAAATCACAGCCATAAGGAAATCGAGATAGAGAGATACTTCTGCTTTGCTGTACAACCCTAGACATATTGGTAATATTTCACATTTGGAGAAAATGATTTTCCTAAATGACCTGTCTTGACTGTGCTAGAAGATTTAAGGAATAAGGGAGAAAATTGTCCCTTCAGTCAAGACACTGGTTAATATGCCAAAACAAATTCATGATCAACAAGCACGGAAGAAAATTGTCCTGTCACTATGCGGAAGGGAATTCGTAATCAACAAATAACCTTATTGAGTTAAGCAGATCGCAAATCTTACTTGCCTTAAAACAAAACGGTTTTTTACTGTTTCAGGTCATTCCACTAGATAGCTCAAGAACACAATGGATCTCATGTTGAGCCTGGCTCTGACCTTAAAGAAGAAGTTAATCACTTTTTTTTCTTTTTGCTTATAGGATTTCAATTTAAATTCTTCCTGACTGTACTGTATAGAATCAAAATGCTATAAATAAGCGAGCCATTTGCCAGCTTACTACATTTACTTGGTTGCAGCACGTGTCTTCCTGGAGCAATCAAAAAACACAAGGTAATATTCTTTGAAATTAATTTTTGCTTATTATAACAATTCCCGAATCGCACTATTTTTTCAACACTTGTTAGTTGCAGAATGTTGAACACCAGAGTGTGTAACTTTTCTGGACTTTAATTACCATTGTTTATGCTAGTTCTGCTACATCATTGCGTCTATTAATGTCTCACGGATCAATTGATCGGCTTTGATCAACGCCAATGATAAGGCAACTAAGAGCTTTTGAAATGCAATGAAAAATATCTGTTGGACAGAGCAGTTTCTCATTGTCCTCGTCAACAACATGTACGATGAGATTCAGAAAGCTACACTCTGGCCATCGCAAATAACAAATCTTAGTGTTGTTTATAAAAGGTAACTGTACAACATCTCATTAGCTTTTTGTTTTCTCGTGTATTGTATAACAATGAATGCAAATTCTTTCTTATGTAAATAATTCATCTTCAGTTTATAAGGTTCTTTCGTAGTACCTTTCCCCTTTGGCCAACTCGTTTTGTATAGCTATGCAATCAAGTGGATCGTCGCTTGGTATCTATTTAGGTAAAGGGGTATCTTTTATTGCCTCTAGGTGTCCCCTTATCTACTTCTCCTTCTTCTTACTTTTCCTCCTTTTCTTTAACTACCCATTTTAATGCCATCGCGTACACTTTAAAGTCCGTTTCTAAACTTTAATTTGTTAATGTCCTTTATTGCATTATTACGTTGTACTTTTTCTGAGGACGGTTTTAAGAAGTAGACATTTGGCTATTGTCTGAAGAAAAAGTAGACATTTTTCTGAATTCTGAAGAAGATCTTACAACTGTTCTCCGTTTCGCTTATGCCAACAATCTGATGGCTAGCTCCTTTCTGTAATAGCCTTGTTCCTAATGTACCTATTTTCATTTATATTGAGGAATATCGAGAAATGTAAATCATTTTTCAGGAAAGATGAAGCTGCTTATAGTATTTGGGTTCTGCTGTGTTATTGCTCTGACTGCAGCGTCAATAAATGAGAACAATGAATCAACTGTCATGGGAGAGGAACCCGATGCAAAGATGGAGGTCATGGAAAGCTCTGACCAAGACGAATCCGAAGACCAGCCCTTTGAAGACCGGAAAGAGATGAACAAAGACAACGACGATGATGACCTTGAAATGACAGAAGGCAAAGAGGACACAGAAGATGCCAGAATGGAAAAATCTCCCTTTTGGAGAAGAAGGCGTCGTCATGTCATTTACGTGCGTCGCCGTCAAATTTACTATTACCGCCGCCGTTATTCTTACTACTACCGCCGCCGACATTCTTACTACTACCGCCGCCGTCATTATTATTACCATCGACGTCGCTTCTACGGTTAAAGACTTTTTTACGTTCTCTGTTTCATATGCTCTTTGTTTTGGATACAGTTTTTTAAGGACTGTTTCAAGTAGTCTGAAACGTTTTTCATAGAAAAGATCGCGAATTTGCACATTGTTTTTATTGGCCTCACTCCTGCATAAATGTAGCCTCACTCGATGTAATTGTCGCAGCTAGGTTCGTTATTTGGAAGCTTCGGCTTGATGTCAATCAACAAAACTTCACAATTGCACATTAAACAATAAACTAATCTCTACAGGGACTTTTGACATGCATGACTAGAGCGAATCTAAAAATAACTTAGGTCAAATTGATCAGAGCACGTGCACAAGAAAGGAATTGGAAACTGCTCACGTGAAACCACTGCGTGCTTAAGGTGTAATGTTTGCAAGATATGAAATGAAATAACATTTCTCTCATCTTTCTTTACCATGTACTATGAACTTAAGAAACTTCAACACGACAAAGCTCTCGAATATTCATTTTCAAAATTCTTTAGCGAAAGTAATCCGTTGGCAAGAGACTGGCTAGCATCAACGCCTTAAGGTGTTATGTAAAGACCAATTACATAAAAAGTAGTTGTATTAATCATTATCGAATTTTGAAAACCATGCGTTTGGCACTTTTGCAAACTTTCTTTTAGGAAGGGTATCTTATAGTTTATTTAGACCAATAGTTCACTACATGCCTGCACATATTGAAGAGACACTGTTTTTCTATCATTTCATATTATAAGTCATCAGATTTTGCTTTCCAGTATCAATCAGTGACCTTATTTGAGTAGTATTGATACTTTGTCCTTCAAAATTAAAGTTTTTCAAGGAGAGCATCGACATATGACGTAGGGCTTTACAATGCCAGTATTTGCACCAAACTGTATGCGCCAAGTTTTGCGTTTTTTTGTCCTATTTCAACATACATTGGTCCGAATCTTAGAAACCCAAAAGCTAGCTGAAGCAGCTATTGTGTTTACGAAACATTCAAAACAAAATACATGTAGAGCGGAAGTACAGTTGAATCTCGTTAAATCGGGTAAAGAAATGGTGTCACTTAGCGAATGTCCCTATCAGCCGAGGTACGACGTTTGGTTTGAATTAAGTGGGAGAATCTGAAGAAAATCGAAAATCGGATTTAGTCAAAGTCCGAGTTATACTAGGTGCAACTAAATGGGATTGTATTGTAACTCAATTCTTGGAACAGAAGGTTATTTCATTTGTAATATCACATTATGGTGAAATAAATTGCCCTATATTAGCCTTAATAATAGTATAAAGCATCTCGTCATGTACGCCCGCCTTTTAACGTTAACTGACCAGCAGAATTCACCTTCAAAAGACCTGAATTGGATGCCATAATATTTTTACAAGAATCATGGCCTGCGAATTTCTTTGGGCAGTTTATGCGCTGCATGAATCAATAGGTCATGCGAAAACAATTCGGGGAAAAGGGTAAAGCCTAAAATTAAAATTGAATAAAAATCGATTCTATCCGGCGGTTAGGAGAAGGATCTTTCTTTATTAGAATTTCCATCTTCTCGACATTTCTTTTTTGTATGACAGCAGCAATGAATTAATGTCTAAGAACCCGTTTACACTGTGCCGGACAAAATTTATCCGCATAAAAGTTGTTAGGATTGATTTGCGTTTACACTGTGCCGCACAAATTGTCCTCTTTGCCCTCCCGTTTACACTGTGCCGGATAACTGCAGTCACATGACCTAAATCATGCACAGAACGCCCAAAATGAAGTCTTCTCTGGGCAACAAAATAATAACAAAATTCGTGCCAACGTAAAAAGATTTCATTCTCTCTTCAGAATCATCTGCTTCTCTGTAGACCAAATTCAAAAATTAGGCCTAGTTTGTTTTAATAGTTTGTTCTTGAAACAAAATGACACTGAACTAGCCACGAAAGTAGGGAAAGCTGACAAGGATGCCAATTTTACGTGGACTGGCAAGATACTGCACTTTTAGCATGAGTATTTATAGACAACAAGGCAACCAAGATGGCGAAAGGTCTTGATTGGGAGACAGTGAAAACTAAATAGGAAGAAATAGTCAATCGCTTTCGAGCAAGATACGATGTGAATAAAATTTATCCGGATAAAAGCGTTTACACTGTAACACATAGCTATCCGAACTAATTTAATCCACTTTCCTAGGTGAACTTATTTTGTTCGGATAGCCGCTCTCAAATTCGTGGGGATAGCGTGGGTCTAGTGTAAATGGGACGCCTATCTGAACTAATTTTGATGCGGATAAAATTGATCTGGCACAGTGTAAACGGGGTCTCATATTCGTGGGGATAGCGTGGGTCTAGTGTAAACGCGACGCCTATCTGAACTAATTTTGATGCGGGTAAAATTTATCCGGCACAGTGTAAACGGGGTCTAAAGAAGTACTATGAAGTCTTTTTGAGTGCCTCAGGGTTCGGTTCTTTGGCTATTGTTGTTTCTAATACAAATCAATGATAATGCATTGTAAGCCACACCTTTTTGCAGATAATACCGTGCTAGAGAACATGAAGTAGCTTCAAGCTATGCAAAGAATCTTGAGACCAGGCTTATAGCCTTAAACTTGGTGGTCTTCTGAAATAGTACCTAGTGCTGAAAAGACAACGTGTATGTTTTTCAAAAGAATAGTGAACCAACTAAGCAATATCAGCATCAACTTCAGTGCCAATGAATTTTCAGCAAGGTTTCATTGAACTGAAAAAAAAACTTAAGGAAAAGCCTGCGCGGTAGATTTTGGTATACTTCACAAGTTCATCAAAGGAGCGCTTTTTCAAGTTCGTCAATTACATTTCACTAATTCGTGCATTTCTCGCAGCGCTCGCTTTAGCACTGTAAGACTTAAAGTTTTCAAACAATATAATGATGATATCATATTTTTGCATAATTATCATAGTACATTGATTAATCAAATACATACATTTTACTTTTTAATGAGCCCTACTGTGCTTAACTGAACATTTTTGTTATATATACATACAAATATATAAATTTATCTATATGGAGATATAAATATATAAATATGCGTACTTTTAATATTCAAAGAAGTTAGCATTTCTCTCATGGTTTCTAGTATTGATAATTGCTACCATTGTTATTGCCAACGTTGCCAATGACCCTAATAAGCAGTTCAATGAAAACAGAAGAATACAAAGGACTGCAACCAAACGGTGTTCCATTTTCATAGTTTTTGAGATGATTTTGAGGGCTTTTGGCTAATTGGCCAAAGGATGAAAATGTTACTTAACCCTGTAACTAGCGCAGAAGGGGAATATTTCAATGACAGTTGCTGGCCTCCTCTCAAAACTTACAATAATACCATTTTACCACGTTTCAAAGTGCGCATCTCCTAATGATGAAAAAATATAAGCATTTAATTTTCATCTAGACAATTTCGTAGAAATAGTATTAGGCGTGAAACTCTGGAAGAAACATAGAAAAGCGTGGTTCAGAATTTATGTAACATTGAAGTAGAAGTACCCTCATACTAGCCTGATAGCAAACAGATCAAAATTGGCTAAGCTCATTTCTATTAACCCTAACACTGCAAATAACCCAAATAAGAGGTTCCAAATAATATATACCTTGAATGTAGAGAAAATTTATTCCTTTTCTGCTACGGCATTTTTCCTTTTCTTTGGATTTTAATAACATACAATCTGAATGCCTTCGGCCGCAAATAGAAACGAGACTGTTGGTTTCCTGGCAACAAATTTTTGTATACGATCAACCTTCGGGATAGATAATACCAACTACCAGCTCAGTGTGAACAATGTCACTTCTTGCAACAGCTTATCGTTTTGAGCGAGAAAACTGCAATGCAAAGGCACTTAAGAAAGCCATGGGTCGTCAAGCAGCCCGTATAAAGGTATTAATTTTTCACTTAATCGAAAACATAGAACCCGAATAATAAAAAAGCTCATAGGCCTAGTTTTCCAAATGTTTTTGAGTTGTAGTGGACCAATTGTCAAATAATTTATTCAAAGTGACCCTAGGAATTAGCTTAATGCAAATTGTTTAATTTACACAACTCTTGTTCTAGCTATTTCCATTTAAGCCAAATTCTTTTTACAAATTTTCTAATAACCATGTCCTTTTTGCAGGAGGATGAAGAGTTCTCTGATCGATCATTTGAAGAACAAGCGTAAGTTGCTTTCATTAGTTCTACGGTTTTGTAGCAGTCATTTTTCGAAAATTTAAAAATTGGAGTTTAGTCGCAAATTCTTGAATTTTTAGATGGAGATAAGTAGAGCATTTCCCAAAGAAAAGAATGACATAAAACTGGCCAAAAACATGTTTGAAAGAAGTATTACAGAAGGCAGGATTTAATTTTTTCCTTCAAGAAGTTCCCTTCATTTTTTGCAATCAACATCTGAAACAACAAAGAGCAAAACAATAAAGTCCTGCCAAAAGATATGAAATATATTATATGAACTTAACTTAACTGAAGCAAGTGCTTGCAAAAACAATTCATGCATTTTTCTCCAAACAATGTAGGGAATTTTAGACAAAGTTTGGGTTACATTTGGCCTGATTTGAAGGATAATTTCAAGTTGTAATTTTAGATGGATTTATATTTCTAATCAAGTTTCTTCCATTTTACCTCAGAAACTCAAGGGTAAATGAAATAGCAAAATGGTCAGAAAGCCTGGAAGAGGTAGGCACTTGTGGATGTAAATATTAAAAATATTTTATTATCTTCTTGGTTAACTATGCAGCTGCTCAGTTGTAATTATAGAACTATCAGCAATCACAAACATTTCATTTCAAAGTTTTATTATGAAAGAAGAATGATCACAAGTCCTCCTTGACAGACTTATAGAGTTGACTTTAGTTGTAGTTTTCTTCCAATTCCACTTAAAGTTTTTATGTAACAATAATGGTTAGATAAAAGCTATCAGCAATTTTAGATTGATGGAAAACAAAGGAAATATAAACATTATTGGTGTGATTTTGTTTTGAACCTGCATGGTTTAGTTGAGTGCTATATAATTTAGATGGTCAGCAGGAATTCATATCTTTTTGGATTTATAATTAAGGGGTTTGAGCCCCCAATCCCCCCAATGACACATCACCATATCTAAAATATTAAATATATTGGATCTTTGGATGGCTTCACACTTACAACATCAATAGTTGGATTTTTCTTCTGCTTTTACTGGCAGCAGGTTGTAACCATTCTCTGCTAACTGGTACAGTCATAAAGTTGGGAAGGGGTGCATTGATTTAAAATTACTCACTATTTTTAGTTTCTATTGAACTTTTATTTATTTGAAACCTATTAATAATTGTATTATGCAAGGTTCAAGGAAAATGCGCTTGGAAATTTTCTCTCAAGTTTTTCAAAATGTTGAATATAGATGTTTTCCAAGAGCCCCACATACTGAGTGTAGTGTAATTTAAATCAGTAACGTAAGCCCATATAAATATATGCAGTATTTATTTCTATACATTTTCATTGCAGGCAAGTGATAAAAGGAAAGTTAGAAGAGAAATTAAATCTGTCAACGAAGAGCTGAAATGTTCAGGGAAAGCATTAGTTAAGGTAGGTCAATTGCAATTAAGATAAAATTTTGTCTTTATATTTCATCCAGTTAGCCAGTGGCTGTTTGGTGAGGATTATGTTTTAAATAAAATTTTACACACTAAAATCAAAATTATATGTGTGAAAGTTTTTATTTGATTGGCTGCTTTTAAGAAAATGACCACTTGTGTGAAAGCATTTAAGTTAAGCAAATGAGAGAAAGATCACTGCAGGTCCAGATAAAACAAAAAGGGATCAAAGCATTCTATTTAGCTGTACTGTGCAATAAAATGAGCAAGCAGGGCCTTAGGAAAAATTTATTCAAATACAATAGGTAAAAGTACAAAAAGGTCTGTTTTTGAAATGACAGAAGATCAGCTCCCTGAGCCCTATAGCTTTAAGCCCCATTCCCTTCCTATCTTTATCTTTGTCTTCAAAAATAACAGTTACAAAGGAATTTCCTTCATGAATTCCAATTTGAGAAGAAAGCCTTTTTTAATTATGGCTTGAAATAAACTCAGCAATACCCAAGTAATATTGTTATAGTTGCCAGTCATCAACTGCCATGAGTGACCACCTCTCACTCCTAAGGGATAACACCCCCCGCTCTGGATCTGAACGTTATTTTATCCAAGCAGGCAATTTTGATGCACCAACATCTCAATAGGGATATCAGGTTTTTCATTGTTCTTGATAAGAAAAACTCAGATAAAAATAAAACAAAATCAATACACATCTTGTTATGCTGCATCAAACTTCTCGCTGAAAATTTTCTTTTTTAGAAATTTCATATCCCTAATTATAATGCAAGATAAAATTCTTTTTTCGACAGGTGCGCAAGGCACAATTGGCAAATTTGCTTGAAGGAGAAAAGAGAAAATATGAAAGTGAGCTTAAAGCTTTGGGAAAAGCTTTCTATATAGAGAGACTGTAGCTTTTAGACTAAAATTGTAAATACATTTGAATTTTCAAACTTTTGATGTAACTTCTAGTTTTATGTATATATGTAGTTTTCAATTTTTTGTCCCTTATAATATTGTCATTGAGACAAAACCCTATAATATTTTGAGATCTAAGATATTGTACTTGTTAACTTATAATGAAATAATGAGTAAAGGGAGGCTACTTCTTGAAATATTTCAAGAGAAGAATTACACAGAGAGGTGTCCAAAAAACCGAAGACAATGGGCCCTTTATGCATACTTCGAAACTCTTTTTTTAAGATATGAATTAAAGGGTCAATTGATATCTCACTTTTCTCTTTCAAATTATACCTGCTGAACAAAAAGAATACCTGCTGAACAAACATGAATATTCAAGTCATGAAGTTGTACATAATATGTCACGTCTTATTCTTGGGTACCAAATTGCTGTGGGGTTGAAATAAAAGAGGGCTTGAGAAATTCTCCAAAAATGATTAGCAGAAAGACTGCAATTAGGTACCCAAAAGTATGATAGGGGCGAATAAAATTATATTTGGTTATTCTAAAGGACATCAGCATATGCCAAGGGTGATTTGGCCAGAGGGAGGGTAAGATAGGATATTCGCTGTTCTGAAAGTTCAGTAGTATTTGAACTTAATTTAACCATGTTTCAAAAAACAAAACAATTCTGCCTATGGGCACTGCAGTGCAGATGCTAAACGATTACGGAAGAGGAGCTTGCATCCAGTGGCGTACCCAGGGCTGTAGGAGTGGGGGGTTCTGGGGCGTAGCCCCCATAAATTTTTGCGGGGAAACGTGGGGAAACGTGGGGAAACGCCCTTTTTGCTAAATTTCCCCACATAATTAGATCATTTTAGCTACGGTAAATAGCAAAGTATTTTACAATTGTTATTGACACAAGCATACAGTCTACTACCCCCCCCCCCCAATGAGTTTTACATCGTTTTTGGACAAATCTCGAGGACCATATTTTAGAAAAGTGGGGGGGGGTCCGGACCCCCCTATTCCCCCCCTTGAGTACGCCACTGCTTGCATCGATATTACCCAAAAAGTATTGCTAAATTGAGATAGAGCTGCCTGAAAAGAATTTGAAATGCGATAATGTTGCTAGATTGAGGGGCTGCAGCCCTTCCTGGCCCGTTTACAAATATTCCAACTTCTTTACCTCTTAGAAAGAAGGTCCCACTGCTCTCTCCTGCTTTTTTTCTACCAAGTTTCTTATTCTCGATATCACTTGGTCCAAGGCAACTCAGTCTACAGCTACCAACCCTTTTCCAAAAGCATCTACTGGTCAAGGAAACTGATTGACCAAATTTAACCGGTTGGACGTGGTGTCCACAGCCTCAACCCCCTGGAGCTTCCAATGTCATAAAATTTCGGATGTTTATCAATCATAAGAAGAAGCAGGAGATAGCGGAAATTTCAAGTTGTAGAAGGAAGAGTGAAGTGTCATTATGCGAAGTTTGAATTTGCAAAATATTAACGTTTGCAACTGGCGCTGATTTAACATGATTTGACACATACAACTTCAGAGAAGTTTGTACGAAAACAAAGTTCCATCCAAATGCCTATTATAGAGAAGTATAACATACCACTATATCGACCAGCAGGTTTGTTGAAATGCTCTTCTGTTACCATTCCTTTGATTGTTAGGTTTGAATAGTTGGAAAAATTGTTGTCATCAGATTTTCACCTACACTTCAACAATTCTGCTACAATGAACTCGAATTCGGGTTCATTCATTTCCATCTCAATGCACCTTCATCATTTCCCTTGCAAGAAACCTTTTTTGGAGGAAAATGGATCAAGGGTAATTCTTCAGCGTGCAGATGTGGAACTCTTAGATCCAAATGGCTTTACCTGGAAGTATCAAGAATTTTGGCGCGAAATGAAACAAAAGGTCTATTGGCACACAGGGCCATTGGCATGACTCTTGCGCCACTCTTTGCAAGCAAAAACAAAATTACTTTGATATACATTCTTTTATGTGCGTGTACTTTTTACTTGCCCTCCCTCTCACTTTTAAAGCCTTTGAGAGTGCCCCTGGCAAAGGAAGAGACCATTTCATGACACCTGTTAAAACTCTAAAGATTTAGGAAATGTTTCCCAAGAAGCGTGTGACTTAATGAATCCAACGTATTGGAAGATTGTTCATAGAACGATGCGAAAATGCAGCTAAAGTTTATCCTGCGTTTTATTTTGGACGGGGATTGCATAACTTCTAGAAACCTTTCTTCTGATCCTCATTAGCCAGCATCGGGCAAAGTTTGGACTTGATTAACTGTGGCCTAGAAATGTGGGACTCGTTTACCGGCAGGGGTGCCGTCCTCAAAAGTTAGGAAGGGGGTCTGTGCGCTAAAGGAAATTTATAGAAGCCACACCAATGACCCCGTCCATAGCCACACCATGTATACTTGCATTTGTGTTTAAGATTCCGGTGAGAAATCTCCTGACCGGCGAGTCCCCCATAAAATCCCCCGCCAGACCAAGAAAAATGTTTCAGTCCACTGCCATATTTGCTTTCTATCTCCCGTGAAAAAATTATCACCGGGCTTGTTACACACGGGTATTTTAGCTACAAAGTATCTTGCTACATCGGAACCTTAAAGACCTACATCGGAAGACAATATAAACAAAACATACGGCTTTGTTCGGTGAATACATATGTGATTATGTGGTTGAAAATGTATGTGTTTTGTTATACATTTTTACAAAAGTAAGCTTCACATGAGCTTTACGCTTCTTACACGTATACACAGTACACAACTGCAACAACCATAATATTGATTATGAGACTTATATACTAAAACCATGTCCACAAAATATTATGTTGTCAAACTGAAACTAGGCTGTCCAATTTTAATATTCTAATTTGATCGCAAGTACCGTTTTAAGGTTATATAAATATTAACGGCGTACATAATTTCGTATCAAATCTGAACATCGTGAGGCGGTTACAAACAATCAGCTTTCTTGGGTACCTCTGCAAAATGGGTGTGTTTTCTTTCACGAAATAGGGGCAAACACCAGATTCAGAACATAAAGGAGGGGGCAACTGCCTCTTAAGATAGCAAGTTTTTCTATACATAGGTCTATGTCGTGGGGAATTTCTGGCAATGAAGGGGATATGCGCCCCTTGGGGGATCGGAGTCTTCCATTGACTATTTTAGTCAAGCCAGTGGAAACGAAACTCCTAGTAAAACATCACTCTCTGCTCAAGGCAAAGAATCACTAGAAGGGTATAAGGGAGAATGCTCTGAGATGTTTGCTAAAAAAGTGCAGGAGATGTACAACATGCATTAAAGATTAGCTCCGAATAATTCTCAAACCAAGGTTCTCGCCAGCAGCTATCGTTTGGCCTACTGAAGGAACAAAAGCGAAAGGCATTGCGATTAACAGCTTGCAAATTTGCAACACGAAATAAGAAACTGAGTCCAAAATAAGCAAATAATTTATATAACGAATGGTTTATGGTTATGAGCAATTCTAGTTTTGAAGACGTACACGAGAAGAGAAAACACGAGAATTGGAAAGAAGAACTAAAAAATGTACTTTCCTTGATTTCTGTGACGTAGAAATGATGCAGCTGTGGGACTGTCAGCTCATGGGCAAAGGTGAATGCAAACTCAGATGAAGGCAGAACTAAGCCTTTAACAATGCAAAAGGTATAAATAGGAATGAATAATTAACAGTAAATTACTTACATTGAAAAAGATGCGCTAGGCAAAACCCTATATTACAAGGCGATATAAAACTAAATCGAAACTTTCCCCTCTTGTAACCTGTCACAGCCCAACGCCACTTTATACACAGATTTTGTCGAAATTATCGCAACACAACGACGAAGTCAAAAAAAATGCAATAACATATGAACTGTATAAATTAAACGATAAGGGTTCGTTTAGATTTAAAAATAAACTTAAAAAAATAGATATCTTTTCTCTAAAACGCACATTCTTTAAAAGTCTAGGCTGCCGTTATAAAAGGTTCAAAACCACAAGATTTTGTCGCTCTCTACGAAAGGCTGACGCACAAAATTACCTCGGGTAAAACTGGCCGTATTCTGGTTTTGGCTGTTCTGACCCAGTTCTCCAACGTTGCACGCGGACGCGGTCGCCTTTATTCGGTTCATGTTTGGAAGCATTGATTGGCAGGGACAAGACTTCAGCACGTTTTCCTTTAGATTGATATGGAGCACTCCTGTCATCAGCTTCAGGAATACTGGACGGAAATTTATTTGCTTTGAGAGCACCAGGATCACTATCTGCGGTTACTTGACGCTGTAGGTTATTCAGCAACGCGGCAAGTTCCGAGTTCTCACCTTGTAATTCTTTCATGTTTGAATCATGTAACAGCTCTACAACCTGCTGCACATTTCGATCGAGTCTTTGTAGCGAAGACTCGATGTTCCTGTGCGCAGTAACCGCGCGGTGAGGATATTGCGAAATATCAGATGCAGACACGATGACGCGCTGTGTTGGACTCAATAGCCGCTGCGACTTGTTCATCTGCGTCTTTTGGCGTAAACTTGCAACTTTTTGCTCGTCAGTCTTATTAGATTCATTATCGTAAATGCTTTTAGTTTTCGAAGAGTCTTGTAATATACTTGAAACTTTCTTTTCAAGTTCTTGCTTCTTTTGACGAAAGTTATCAAACCTAGCTGCCATATCGGGCGTATAAACGGGAGTGTTTAATTTAGCCGCGCTTAGGCCAATGACTTTGGTTTTCAATGGCTTGTCGAAGCGCCTGATCGATGCGGCGAAATCCGCCTTTTTCGAGTGTAATTGTGCTCCATACCCGAGGGGATTATTTCTCGAAGCATCAAATCTGTCGATCGGAGACGTACTAGAGTTATTTGAAGAGGAACTAGACAAATTTCTCCTTACTAACTTCCCGTCCTTTTCTTGGAAATTTGGATCCAGTAAAATTCTCAATTTCTCGTCTAAACTTTTTGCACCAAGATTTTCCACTGTCGTGATACTTCTTGCGTGACCAGCGTCTGCTATTGGGATCGATTCCGAAATAGGCGATTGTTTTGCGTCTTCATCAGACGTCTCAAATTGTCCCAAGAACAAATCTAGCTGTCTCTGCTCGCGCTCCCTTTGATCAATTTCATCTTGAGTGAGCTTGTAAGATGGCGCCTTTTCATCGCTGCTGACACTTTCAGCTATCCTTCGAGAAGTGATCTTGTACTTTCTTGCCGATACTGGGCTCGACAGCGAGTCTAAACTTTCCTTCCTGCTGCTTGCATTACTTTCACTTGTAGTGCTCACACTGTCGTCACTGTCCCTCACTTGAGACGACAACACGTCATCTCCTATGCTCTCATCCTCCTCTTGCTTCAAGTCCCTGATAGTTTTCTCGCGTTCTTTGTCAATCCTCTCTCTTTCCGCTTGTCTCTTCTCCATCGCCACTTGATGCTCTACGCTCACCTGCTGGAGCCGTAGTCGCGTTTTTTCGCTTAACATCGCCGCTTTGTACGATTCAGATGTAGTGTCCCTTTTGTCGTAATCCCTTACTGTTACTTCAGCCCGCAATGGTATTTGCAATGTAATATTCGCCCCGTTATTTTGCCGTAACTGTTGCGGTTCACTTTCACACGAATTCTTACGCGATTCCGATTTTGGTTGCTTTACGACAGTTTTATTTCCTTCAGTGCTTGGCCCAAGTGGCACAGCTCTGGAGTACTTTGCCTTTATTTTTGATTTCACACGAATATGGTCGTCTTCATTTTCTCCTTCTGAGGCACAGTGATGTTTTACTGAACCGGAATCCTGTAACAAAATTTGAGGGTCTGACGCCAGACGCCTTAAATGCGGGGCCGTCGAGTCGTCTGTTTGTACACTTTCAGAATCAGGACTCAAAGAATTATCTTGTTTACCCATTTTCTTTGAAAACACGGGCGATATTGCTTTATTCCTCAATTTCAGGGAAATTCCTGATGTGAAGTTCGTCAGGGACATTATTGCCGATGCCACACCCTGGTGGGATTGAAAAGAAAGACACAGTCGTTTACAAAAAGCTAGATTTTAAAACTTCGATGCTAAATATTGACAAACAATACCCACCAACCCTCCTCCCCTACCCGAATTCCTAACTAGGCTTTATTTAGCTCAAGAATATCAAAATCGCGGTCGGCGGGTTGATATTTTACGACCCGCTACTTGACAGCATAGCTATCTGTTTATGTGACCCCTGTGTTTTTTTCATCTTTATATCCATAAATATTATTATGACGCCATGATTCGGGAATCCCCTCTCGGAATATGAATAAATACATACATTTTGTCTGGGTGTGAAACGGCCATATGAGATATATAGGGCGGCTTGAATCTTCCTATAGGTATACAAGCAAAATGAGCTCTTTTTGAATTTCTGAAAACTTCTTTCTTGTTGGATGTTTGACGCGGCCAAACAACCTAGAATCAACCTAGAATCAACCTAGAATCAACCTAGAATCAACCTAGAATCAACCTAGAATCAACCTAGAATCAACCTCCAGCGACCTCCAGATAATTTGATTTTGAGACCCCTGACACAGATTCAGTGTTCTAAATCTTACAAATAAACAAAGTATTTGTATCAAGTAATATATACCTTATCCTTTACATCTTTTGTTCCAATATTTTTGTTTGGTTGTTCTCCTAGAAGAAAATTGACAGTGACTTAGTATGCAATGACAAACGTATTACATTTGCACTTTTTAGAGACATTTCACCTGGCAATAATACCCGGGACACATCACCCGGGACAACTGAAGCCTTGGACACATCTTTTGTGGACAGGAAAAAAATGATTACCCAGAAAATGTTTAAGCAAATAAAACTACGGAAAGGGTAAATTTCTGTCCCATTTTTGTCGAAAATGGATCAAATTTTGAACTGGAGCTTGGAGGGATGTCAACGTCAATAATGGAGAATGATTGAAAGCTAAAAGAATGAAACTAAATTCTTGAGAAAACTTTTTCAAAAATATTTCATAAAATTTACTCGAAACATAAACATACCTTCAAAATTTTCTGCCATCTGTCCTAATGACTCGAGTAACCCTCTTGAGGCAACATAGCATTTGTTTCCATCAGGGTCAGCCTTAAAAAAGATGAATTTACAGTTAACATCCCTCAAAAAGAAAACCTTTTTCGCAAAGAGTCAATATTGCTCTTGGATCTTGTTTTAAAAGTGCAAAAAAGGAATTGTAAGGTCACGAAGTCTTAACGTGGGTTCTTATCCCAAAACTGGCCAGTTTGGTTGGTTAAAGTAGTTCAAGCGAAAATGCTCTTTAGAATAGAAAAATTACGAAGTTTCAGGTAGAAATGGCATTCCTAACAACAAAGTGCTGAAAGTAAAAGCGAAATAGAAATTGTTTGGGTTTTTCTTTGCGCGGTTTACTCTTACTGAATGCAATTTCAAAGGCGCAAGTTATTAAAAAAAGCGTTGGTTTTACGTAGCAATAATGGCAAAAGAAACAATAATGGACAAACAAGAGTTGGGGGACATACCTGCATACCCTCTTCAACTGCACACTCCATGCTGTCATCTACAGAGTAAATCCAATCGGCCTAAACGAAATAAGGCATTATTTAGGTGATTTATAAAAGCAACCAAAAATGAATAATTCTAGATCTACTGTGTGTCTTCCTCTTTGATTTCTAAAAGCATCCCTGCAGCCACTAAGATTCTTAATCTTACTCCATGAAAAACGATTAGAGACAACTTCACAAACATCTGCTGAAATTTGTAAGTACTCCTTATTTTTTAAAGATAATTGAGGTCATACAATGAATCAAAAACGTTTACTGAAGTTGTTCAGAAAGAAATTAAGATGAATTTCGGTATTCAAAAACGCAGTGAGGTACCTATAACGACAAAATAATAAAACTACAAAAAGCTGATTTGCTTCTACAACTGGTCGCAAAAATCAGATGAAAAAAAGTGAGAGACCTAAAAACCAAAGATGTACAGTGAAACCTCTATTAACGGACATCATCCTTCAAATGACCTTTACCTCTAACGTACACCTCTCTTCAACGGACATCATCTTAAAATGCATACCTGTCTACAAATAGGGAAATCTCCCTACAACGGACAAATCCATAAAAAGGACACCTCCCTACCACAAACATCTCCATAAAAGGGACACCTTCCTACAGTGTACATCTCCTTAAAACGGACACCTCCTTAAAACTGACACCTCCCTAAACCATGTTTACAATTATCATTCAACAATCTCGGAAAAAATACAAAATTGATGATTGCCTTTTAACAATATGCACACAGCACGTTGTTTTAGAGTCAGAAAAAAACCGTACCTGATGAATAAGAGTTTCAATAATGCGGCATTGGTCAGACATGTCCTTCACCATTGAAACCATGTTCTCATCACTCGTGCGAACCACAGTTGGACCAAACACGATGGCTAGATTCTTTGGTTCCATCTAAATCAAATTACGAATAAACGCTATTATATAAATAATTTATATAGCTGACGAAATCTTAAAAATCGTATAAAATATTGCAAGATAAACACAAATGACATGTTGAAGTGAAATGATTAAAAAATACAGCATTCACTGTATACTATGAGTTGTTGAAACACAAGTTTGGAATTTTGGATTTTTGAAACAAAAGTTTCGAGTTTGATTATTGAAACGTAGGTTAGGACTGGAGTTATAGAAACACAGGTTTAGGATTGCGTTAAAATCGAAGAACGCGTTTTAGAGATGGAAACGCATGCTTTGAGCTTGATTGTCGATTATTAGCGAAGTTTCGAGTTGCAATTGTAGTATTTGAAGAAGAAGGAGTAATATTTTATTAGGTTTTAACATACCCTGTTACTGTCTGAGTGGTCTGCGATAAGTCGAAGGTGATTGATAAGATATCGCAGAGTTTGATTGTGGTAATCTGGCAAAGTACGAATCTGGAATAAACAAACATTTCAAGATAAGTGAATTAAAGAAAATTAAATGAAATTAATTCACTGTTGTAGTTCATTTTCACGCTCGTAGGTTTTATCGCATTTAATCACCAATCTTGTGATATTTATAAGTGAAACTGGATTACAAATAGAAAAGTCTTGAGCACGAAAGGAGATAAGAAAGAATTTCAAAAAACAATTATATGACTAAAGAAAAGGGCAGAAAAATATATATAAATATAATTAATGACTTTTTTGAATATTTGATTAAAATGGTAACCAATTGTTTAACATCTTTAAAGATAAACCAATACGCGGCCATTCGTTATTCAATGATTCTTGCACAATTGCCAAGAAGGTCTATTATTAAAATATCAAGCTTTGAATTTTGAAATTGGTCTCTGTAAAAGGAAGCCTCCATATTTTTGCAAACAATATCTGGTGATCACTGGTCTGTGAGTTATTATTCAAAACAAAAGATGAACAGTATCAAATTAAACGACGAAATAAACATAATTAATATTTTCTGCTTCAGACGTGGCACATTAGAATCGGATTAAACAACTTACGAGATGTCGAAGTGACCGGAGTCTTTCGTTCGAATCTTCTTCTCGATTTGCATCGATGAATTTTGAATACATTTCTATATGAACAAAAAGGTATATTTAAGATGAAGAAAGTTTAAAACAACATTCGCTATCATAGCATAACGATAAACAAGGAAAATAACCTAAAAATCAAGTAATGAACTAACGACGAAATTTTGAAAGACGAATAAGCGATGTTGAAACAACGAAAATAATATTTCTTTTTATGAAAGAATTATTTGAGCTTTGGAAAAGTAGAGAGTGTAAGTAAGAATTGGTCATTATTATTTCAAGAACTTCAAATTTGTATCAGTACAGGAATTGTTTCAGACATAAAATAATGATTTTATGATTAATCTAAACTAACCTTTTGGAATTAAGGGCTCGGGCAATTTCCTCAGGAAAGATTTGAGAAGGCTGCCAATATTGTTCAAGTCATTCCATTTCTGTAATCAGATATAATTTTTATCAAACTCATATGAGGGAGCACAATTCACGTGAAAGTGGAGCCAATGACTAAAGTTGAAAATGAGCCACGTGTTTCAACTCATCAGGCGATAAGGCATTCAGAGAACGAAGCAAAATGGCCATTACTATCACAAAGGAGTACGATCAAAGGTAACATTACGAAGTATGAACTACTTTCAGTTAAATTAAAGAATAAATCAATCTAGAGGTACTAATTTCCTCATTCCAGTGACCCGCCTCTCTGGTGCTCGTCAAGAAAACTGGACGTGAGAAATTAAGGGGGTTCCTACCCAAAAAACAAGTGCCTATTACTAAACTAGAGGGAATTAATAAAAAGGAGGTTTCAAAATTTTGATGATATATGAAAGGGCCAAGGTCGTTTTTCCTCACCTCCTCTTCGAAATTGATTGCTTCTGGCTCTTTGTTGTCGAGTTCATCTTGCAGCAACTGGACAGCGGCAGCATTTCCCGGCACTCTGTGCAAACACAAACAATGTTAGCAGACGATTTATTGCTGCTTTAACACATATTTAACACATACTGGAACTTGTATAGAAAAATAGCTTGAAAATTAGAATCTGATATTTGTGAATAAACGCGACCCCGCATATGTAAGCATCAACAAAAATGGGCGTACATGATACCAATAAAAAGTATGCGTTTAACCCGAGCGAAGATATGGCTGACTTTGTCATCAAAACAAACTTCAAAATAGAGAAACGAGAAAAGCAAAGCAGTCATGTGCATGCTGAACCATTCGTGGTCATGAATCACATGCACTGATTTTTTATCATAAAACGATATTGTAAATGCAGAAAAAATATTGAGTAGCCCAATCATAATATTTACCTGTAAATTCCAAGATAATCTAGTCCCTTTGATTCAACAACTTTGCAGCAGTGTTCAATGATAACAGGTACAAACTGAAAAGCAATCGATTTTATCAGGAAGATTCCACCATCGACTTAGGTCATTCAATGGCAAAGTACGGGACGGGGTGTCATATGTTCTGTTAAAACTATCACGGGCTTAAAAAAATGTCGCACTAACATTCTTGTACCGCCCTAGAGACTTCATAAATTAAGAGAGTACCACAAAGAAAGGTCAAACTGAGGGACGTACCTCATTTTCTTTTCCAGGCGGACACTTTTCTAATGACAACCCGAACGTGTACCCTGTCGCTTGGACCTCTTTGTCTTTTCCATGCGAAATATGAATGTTGACCAGACCACGTTTTTTCGTGTTTTTATAACCGAGAGTGAAATGTGCTAATAAACAAAAAACGGCAATATAAGTTGATACCCCAATAGTATTTCAAGAGTATTGAAAGACTATGTGATATTAAAGTAACTCCTCCTTCGGACACAACTGCAAACAAATAGGATGTCAATGGACCATGGACTGGGAAACAGTCTTAGCAAAATTACCAAACCATATTCAGCGTCTAATCAACTTTATTATTGAACCTGGATTTATCAGGATTGCCTGCAAAAAATATCTCATTAACAATGCAAATAGATCTGACATAAATGCCACTTAGTGAGACAATGGACTATATCAATTCCACAGAAAAAAATAGCCAAAAAATTAACAAGATCGACTATCAATTTGCATACGAAAAACGGCATCTAGAACAAGAATTGGTGTTTGTATATGAAAAATCTCTTACTTTTCTTGAGGGAGAGTCCTCTTTTGCTGTTGCTCGACTTTGTCGTTCCTGGGGGCGAGATTCTAAAGAAAAAACAAGAAAAAAATTGTTATCATCAAAACATCAATTCTGCTTAATACTAAATAGAAACGATCTTAAACTTTATTGTTTGGATACAAAAAGCAAATCATCAACTGAGGAGGGCTGTTAAGAAAAAGTACACGCGACGCATTGTTGTTAAATAGGTGCAGAACATTTGAGGCAAAACTTGTGAGATAAAGCTTTAAGTGAGATTAAAAAAATGTTTTCCTACCCGGTGCTTGAATCTCCTCCTTCGTAACTTTTCATCTTTTTGACAATAACACTTTCGTAAGCATTGACATTAGTCTGTGGGGAACAATTAAAAATCTAGAACATGATGAAAATAAGAAAGAAAAATAAAAGTCTACTACAAAACATTTAACCAATAACATCCAAAAAGAGACCTGCTTCTTGGAAACAAATCTCATAATTAACAGCGTCTTGATCGAGTAGATCAAACATTACGGCCATATTCCGTGAAATATTGCCCAGACCCGCCCCATTTCAAAAAGGAAACGGTGTTGGGCGCACTTTAGGTGACTGTTTTCTCGCGAGCAACCGCTTTTTGGCAGTTACGGACTCTGTCTGTGCTGGCCCCTAGACAAGATACCTCTTTAGCCAAAACAAGAAATATTTCATTACACATAGTTCTTTCTAATCTTGAAAGCACACGCATTTTCTATGAAACAGTCGAAATTGTCAAGGATCAAAACGTTCTTAGGCAACCCTTATATAGTGTTTAATATGTTTTTAATTCTAGATCATATAAAGCCTTCTTGTTTTTAATAAACCTCAAGAATGACACCCAGAAACCATTTCCATCAACTTACTGTAGTATTTACATAGCTGCAAGCTGTGGAATGTTCTTAGTATTAGTCCAACCTAAGCCTTCCTTTTCTTAGGATGCTCTTTACGTTTACTGTCTAAAGGGTTGCCTTCTTATAAACTATGCTAGAGATAGGAAATTTTCATGCCTGTAACGCCAGGCATGTTTTGGAAGAAACCTTTAGAAAAAAAGCAACTTCATGCAAAATAACTGGTCTAGGAGCCTTGTATCAGACCTCCACGCGCCAATTAAAATTACCATGGCCAAGCTGTTGAGGACATCACTTCAATAACATCATGGCATGGCGTAAGCTCTTGGCCGACAAGCTCGTGGTCGACAAGCTCGTGGTCGACAAACAACTTGGTGTAACAAGATCGCTCCTCTGGTCGTTCAAAATGAAAGTTATGTAACATATAGAAGTGGGCGTTGCACGTTCGGATTGCACTCACTGAATAACTTAGCAGCGGAGGATAAACCACGGAAAATAATTTTTCGAGTTGAAAACAGCTTGAACAAAAATTAAATTTTCTGTAAATTCTTCTTAAATTTCATCCAAGTGTTTAATAAAACCTTCAATTTTAACTTATAAAAATGTTCTGATAATGTCTATAAAATTAAACGATCAATATCAGATGAATAAGATTTATGTTAAACCAAATTGTATTAAACATTTTTGACGAAGACCTTTGAATAACCCAGTCAATCAATCAATAAATAAACCATCTCATTCTAAGACTCTGCAAAACAATTTTACAATAAATAGTTTTAAGGAGCTTATCTGGAGGTCTGAATGGGATGATGGCGAAAAGCAAATGGATGTGAAGCCTGCAACAGATTTCATAGGCAGGCCTCGAGTCGTGCAAATGCGACGTTTTCTTTAAGAATTTCATACAAACCGGCAGGGCCCGTTTTCATGTTGGCTGGGGATGCACAGGAAATTTTCCCCCTTTCCTTCAAATTTTCTTTCTTGCTACCAAAGTTTATCTACACAAAATTTTAGAAGAAAGCATGCTGGGACCTTCAAACACTTAGAGATCTGACACTTTGTTGGTGCTAAAACACTATACGATTGGCATTTTTCTAAGAACTGTATTAGTGTCTCCACGCCCATTCCTACCTTTAAATAACAATTCAAATTTTCCTAGCGCAAAAATTGCAAAATCAGAATTCAAAATATTTGCACAAATTATAGCAAGTAACTATAAAAAACAAAGCAACAACCCAATAATGTTATTATATACTCTCGAAAAAAAGACTTAGATAAAAGGAGCTTTATTGGATACGCGCATTTTAATGACTGTATATCCTTCATAACAACTAATCCTGTTTCACCCACGGAGTTAAACAGAAAATCTAACCAAATGCATACTTCTGGCTCTAATTCTTTCATTCTGTTAACCTAATCGCTACCAGTGGTTCTTAATATTGAGGAACCTGCTATTTTATCCTTGAGTGGGTTTGTTTTCGTGTAAAATCGATCCACTTCCGTTCGGACAACTTGGACTTAGTCTAAGCTATGGAAAGCCCTAGAACTCCAGTTTCAAGACCAAGTATTCCAGTTAGGTTGGCCGTTCACTTGTCTCACAGCCCCCCCCCCCCCTCCTGCTTTCTTTTGAAAACTAGAGCATCTTCTCGGTATGACCTTATATGTAGCACAGTCTTGCAGTATGCCTATTGATGCGCATTTGAGCAGTAGAATGTGATTGAACGGTCAGGCTTTATAGGTCAAAACCAATTTGTTACATTTTATGGGATACCTTAGAACAGAATCACAGAAGTCCATAGATAAAGAAATGTGGCTTACCCTATAAGAGAAGTAAAAAATCATTTAACAAAAGCTCTCCCTGCAAAAGCTCTCCTTATCACCACACGTGTGTAGAGCCTTTCAAACTATAGTAAAACTTTTGATAGGTCACGTAACTGTCAGGTAACTGGTCATAATAATAATAATGTTGATTATAATAATGGCTAAGCAATTACCCCGTGGCCCCTTCGATGTGTGCTCTACCAAGCTAAACAGAGTGCCAGTCTCCACATCTTACGCTAAAGACTTTAGGGACAGTTAATGCCCAAAAGGTCTTTGCACTAAATGGCATTTTGACATACGGTTGCCTTTTAAACAGTACTGTGCGTAGAAGAGCGCTGCAATTAGCTTAGGCCGTGATTCAAGACAAAATAATATGCAAACGTAACGAAAACAACCTAAGAAATGGCTACTCACGTCTTTTTCTGGATTGTTTTCCCGAATAGAATTCACCCATGCCATCAAAGATTGAGTGTCTTGGGCCTGTTACATGTAAAAATGAAAACACAGTTTGAGTATATCTTTCAATCCGGTCTCGTAATATCAACCGCAGTTCATGAGCTCTAAAACCATAACTTAGAAACCGCCGGGATTCAATTGGTCTATGAAATAAATCGCTTGACCATAATCAACTGAAAAGATTGCAAGCTAATGATAGCATTCCTCGGTCGTCGGCCCAGTCCATTCCACTGGCTGGAGAGGGATTCTGCTCGATTGCTAAGAGTAAAAGCCTGCAAAGTTGGAAGCAGGATAAATGTTACAACAGGACGTCTAAAGTTGCTGCATGCTGAATTTGGAGGAACACACGTGTAAATATAACTAGAACACATTGGGAATTTACACGTGTATAATAGCGTTTTGTAGCAGCTACCTTGTAAACTACTTTATTGTTGATTAACAATAGACTTCAATTAGGTTTTGGTACCAAAATGCAACTAACAGAAGGAATACTGAAGTACTATTCATATACTTAAAAAGACCCGAGACCAATTAGGCAAGAGCTAAACAATAGGTGAGAAATTAATGACACTTTCCCAAAGGTGTAGAAAAGTTCTGCAATGCTTTACTCTTCTAAAACAATATCATATACACGCATGTACATACAAAAGAGCACTGAGTAAACGAACCCGAATCTCACCCATTTTAAATAAGCGTTTCTCTTTTCTGTAGATTTCAGAAAATCTTTTTTCTTTCCTTCCACTAGATCAACGACTACTTATGGTTTCTATTCAGGTTTTCCTTCTTAACTCACGAGGCAACGATCCGAAAGCAACATCCTCATCAAGTTGTATGCCGTAATATTCCTTTCGCATGAAATAATGGCTTCGTCTTGTCTGAATAAAGTTTTAAGTCGCTACAGATGTTGCCAAACACATGGCCGGTGGGCGAATCAATGAGAATTTCAGGAAACGCGAGGGGGTGCAGAGGTGCAGACAGGCAAACAAATTTAATCAGGTGATTCTTCATACGGGATTGCCCGCGATGAGAGAAACGGAAAAGGAGGCTTTCTAACTCCACACACATGCTTTCATTCGCATAGCTCAGGCTGCAAAATTATCTGAGCACTTCGCATGTATCCTTGAATTTGAAGGTATCGATGTTTTAACAAAAAACAAGAAGCATTATGTAATTTAGGTAATGTCATGCCTGACGACATGGATTAGCTTAGGGTCGGCAAGATAATGAAATTGGCAAATTAAGCAGCAAATTACTAGCAGAATCAGTAAAACTTCAACGGGTCTGGAATTTGTTCACAAATGGAATTTCTGCATGACCAGGAAACTACACACTTTTATGTAGGAGCCAAATAATTTTTTCCATCGCTCGGTTATTTTCAATTTTTATAAAAATTTGAGGCTCGAGTGCTCTTACTTCAACATTCATCTTCTCCAACTCTTTTCAAAAATTGCTTCTAAGACCAGTACATACCGGTTTTAATGGCCTTCTTTTGTAGCACGGTTGATCAACAGATAAAATCTACTCTGTTTTGTGAGCAGAAGAGTAATTTATTACAAGCACATTGTTTTATTCTTATATTTTTCTTGCGTTTATTTTACAACCTCCGGTGTTTTTACATAATGTCTTACTCTTATTTAAAAAAAGTGTAGTCGATAGTTCTTACAAATGTTGAAATTGGGCACAGTACAATGTCAGGGAGATGTTAAAACAAAAAACAAAATGAGTCGAAAATTGAATGCTAGAAACACCAGATTTTCATTTGTCTACAAATATCTATAAAAGGGGCCTTGGTAAAACAGATTGAATAAGTCCGCAACGCTCAAGAAATAACCAATCGTGTATAAATAACATGGCCAAAGGTTTTAATCCGCAAAGATAACAAGCATTGATTGGGAAGGGCATCTAAAAGGATTTGCGAAATCGTATGCACCACGTTTTATGATGCAAAATCGATGCCACAAGCCATCCGCTTGCCATGTGTGCTGTTCGCATCAATAAGAGTCGAGCCTTTAATGCAGTGTATTTTATGTGGTAATCCAATGGAGGGGCATTAGTTAAACTGGATAGTCGCGTTCATTGTATCGTGGCAAACCCACATCTATTGTCGTCGCTACTTGGGCCGTTGCTTCTAGGGCCGCCGCTACCTATTCAAAGGGGAGAGGATGATCCCATCGGCCGACCAGCCATTAATCTTATCTGTCAAACCCCCAACGCTATGACCCTGCCTTAATCTCATCTAATAAACGAAGTTGATTAAATTTTCAGGAATTTCATACAGCGTTTGTTATTTAAAACTTTTTTTTGGAATTGTACTCGCATTCGGAATTTTGGGAAATTGTACTCGGGATGTTTAAGAGGAAATACCCATCAGATTGTTCTCCTCCCAAAATCTATAATATTCTGCTTAGGACTATAAAGCAGAAGAGCTCAAGATGTACAATATTGGTGATGCACCCTCTAAATAATCTTTTTTTTAAAATGCTTGGAAAAATTTTTTAAAAAAAACTCAAAAGTGAATAGCTTCTGTTATTTCAAATAGATACCAGCTATTTGCATTAAGTTTCGAAATGAAACAAAAAAAACAAGGCACCCACCTGGAATAAGTACTCAGAACCAGTTACAGTAGTCAGCCTCAAGACATGTTTCCTCTTCGCGTAATCATGGGCGATATCAACTAAGGACCCTTTCAGGTTAATGATTTGCATCTGTTCCTCGTCGTAAGTAGTACCTTCAAGCTGCAAGCAAAACCAACCAAAATTATACACGTTAGCAATGGAATTCGCTTAAGATATTGCTGGACAAAGAAAAGTATGAGGAAGTTTGTTTGATACATAGGAAAACCAGCCGAGGAAAAGTGAGACAAAAAATGTGCGTGATGATATATGGCAACCTGTTGGGTTGTTTAATGTAGGACGATAAAGAGAGAAAATAAAGCACAGGCACCTCTCATTTTTTAGAAAGAGCATGATCATGATTTTTTCAATTGTTTTAAGTTATGACGAAGCTCAGTTGGGGTCTGATCGCTATTAAAATTAAAATAGATCATCTTATCATTCAAGAAAAACATAACCAAACTTTAGAATCCGTTCAAAAACATAATACTTCACATCAGATGTAGTTTGAGACAGTTGGATGTTAAAGGAGGGAAGCTCGTTGGGACTAAATACCTTTGAACAGTAGACATCAGTAGCCAGGGCTGTTGAAGGCATGGACAGCTTTAACAGGCTAGAAATATTTTAACCCCCCCCCCCCCCACCCTCAAAGCAGAGCTAGGCAATTTCATTTGGAGCAAGATCAGCTGAAACAGTTTTTATGAAGGTATAGGAGTAATATGAAAGAAAAAGAATTGAAAATATCATACCTCGATTTTATCCTTATAACAATAGAGATAATGGCCGCGAAGAACAGTGTACAAGGCTTTCCAAGCTCGGGAGCTCGCACGCTACAAAAAAACAAGGAATGCTGTAGAATTTGCAAGACACTCAACCACAGTTAAAATGTCAACCGGAAACAGGGAAGGAGGGGGAGCTTTTCTTAATACACTGGGAGGTAAATGCGATTTCAATTAAGCTTCCTGTCTCATTAACGAATAGAGAAAGTAAAATCTTATTATAACGACTAAAAAGGTGTCTCAAAATATTCTTCAGCAAGAACATACTCTCTATTCACGTTCAAGAAGGTTTCTCTATTACTTGCAACAGGCTCTCTATTACGCAAAAGATGGAAATTATGCTGCGAAACTGATAAGATTTCAGTCCACCCTGACACTTTTAATTAACATTCGTACACAAATCGGCTTAAAAATGGTGAACGGATCTTGAAGTTTATGTTCTGAGTTTTGGCCGTCTTTTTAACCGAAAATATTTGTGAAGCACTATGATTAGCGGTAGAATAATGAAAAGTGTCTCACCCTTCTGCCATCTGAGGAATGCACAAGCTTTTTGTTAAGCCAACCTTCCTTGACAACCTGAAACGAATCACGTGATGACGGCAAGCGCTTCATAACTTTTAATCAACAAAATTTAATGTAATATAATGTGACATGATAAAATAAAGTAGGAATTATATAAAATAATGTGGTGATAGATAGCTAATGTAATACAATTAAGTATAATGCAGATAAAATGATAAATGTAAGGATTATATTGTTTTTATAGACATATAACACCCTTTTATCTCATGAATTATACCTTATAACGTCATTCAACATAATCATATCTTTGATGAAAATTGAAAATTCAGTAATCAAAAAATTCTGCTTACAAATAGTGCTTACAAAATAGAGATTAGAAGTTAGTGCTTACAAAATCGTATTCTCCTACATTCGCGACGAAAATATGGAGAAAACCTTTCATAATTTTCTCTATGCATCCGAAAAGAGCGTGATGCTCAACTGACAACGGCTGGAGCAATTTTGTTATGGCTTATAGTGAGAGGGTTTCTACATCATACACTGTGATCGCTTGATTTACATTCCGGTGCTGAATTACAAACGCTCTTTATTGCCTAAATCCAAACAAAATTTGCCTTGACCTTTACTGAATGTTATCTCTGGAAGACTCTCTGTTTATTGGCGTTGATGTGAGAACTTAATGACGCAATGATACCAATGTAAACGATGAACACAGTCAAAGCTTTGATCCCGTTTTGACAGCAACCCGTTTCGGATTAACCGTGTCCGTTTAAGAGTGCTATACGTATACGATCCCATTCATAAACTAAGAAGAGACCCTAATTTGTTTTGATCCGAGAATCTTTTAAGATGTGAAGTTTGGTCATCATTTTGGAATTTTCGACCACCAGTTTTAAACAGGAAAATCTAATTATCATTTTCGGCCTAATTAGGGATTTTCCGCAGCGACTGAATTCTTGGGGATGGAGGGTAAAGAGAAAAGTTTTCTGACAGACTTCAGAATCGATGTATGCGAATCAACAATGCATCGACACTGACCTGACTTGTCACAAAAATCGCGACCGAAGTTTAGAAAAGGGAGCCATTACCCCTCTGTGCCTTAATCCAAACCGTTCATGACACCACTGGACTTCCCAACACCAGTTTCAAATAAAAAAATTCTGTAAACCAGCATTCGCTGAAGGGCTACCCTTCCTAAATCATTTGAACTATATGATTATAGTCCAGTAATCTTCCTCAAATGAGCAAACAGTGTCCAGGTTTGAATGTAACACTGACAATTCATCGCATGATTAACTACACTTTTTTTATAAGAACAATTTAATACGAGCCTTAAAACCGGTCAAAAGTTAAGAACAAAATAAAAGCAAGCAAGCTGAGACTGAGCTTCAGTAAAATGTGATTTTGAGCAATGTTGTTAAACTTCCTTAAAAAATTGCACCTCAAAAACGAGGAGTTTTTTTGCCATCTAGGGGTGCTTATTTAGTGAATTTTGAAAGTTGTCAGTCAATAAAGGATATTTTCCATACTTTGTTGGCAAATAAGGCCTGAACACCCCTAGGGGACACTAGATAGCAATTGCATCGCTTATACCCTAATAATTTAAGAAAAAGCGAAGAACACCCCAGCCTCAAATTTACGAGAGAAAAAATTAAGAACAGCCAGCCTGAAATTCAATTTACTGGTTCTTACAAATAAGAGTGTATGGAACCTAAAGAAATCAAATACTGTGATTCAAAAAGTATTCGTTTTCCGGTGTGATAGGCCCAAAGATTTTATTGGCATATGAATGTTAAATTGAATGTAATTCTGTGTTTTGAACTTTCACTTGAACTTTCTTTCAAAGTCGTAATGTACATGATGACGAAAACTTTTGTGGCAAACAAAAAAGCTTTGTCAGCTAACTCCTGAAAATGCGAGGAAGCATCTCATATAAGATTAATTGTTTATTTTGGTTTTAACGGACATCCGTCATGTTGAATTTAGTGTGAAAGGTCACGGGAATATTTTGAATTCATTTCGATTGATTAATTTTGGCTGTAAACGTGCATAAGTGTCCTTGTTACGGCTATAAACAGGGGCATAGCTAGCGCTGGGGGTGCATGTGATGTGACAGCCCCCTCCTATTTTTGGTCGGCAGATCTTCAATTGGTCCAAGTCCGTCTGAAAAATCGTTAGCTTGTCGGTCAAATTGCCTATCGAAAGATTAAATAGCACCCAAATTTTTTCTTTATCTTTGTCTCTAAATTTTCAATTGATTACCCTCCATCCATTAGACTGCAAAGTCAAGCTAAACCACTGGCTATTCGAGCTCGCTTACTTCTCCTAATGCCATCATCCTTACAACTTACATTGTATAAACTGAAAAAATCTTTAAAGCATCCAAAAACTTTCAGTAACAGGAAACTTTATACATCGGTCAAACAATAACATTCCATTATTAAGGGGTCAAAGCTTTGCGAAAGAAACCTTCACACAAAGGGAGGTTTATCTAAAGCACACCAACTCCTCAGGTCCCATGCAGTGGTAAATATTTTCTACTGGAAAAGCACTTGATACAAAGCTTTTACGATGGCTAACTATAACAAGGCAGGGATACTCGTCGAAAGCCTGTTTATATGTGCACATGGTGAAAAAACAAAGCTTTATCATAGCATACAATTAAAAGTTATACCAAGGACAGGCGATGTAAATGAACTGGTCATTTTCAAGTAAGAAGAAGATGTGTTAAATAACAACTTACAGGGAGCAATTTCATGTCATCTACATCAGTTTCGACTGACTCTTGTGAATACTGCCGATGAAGCTGGTGCGAAGTCTGAAAAGATAAGAGATATGTGAGAATACTTTATACAGGTATAGTGATATATGATACAAGGTATATCAGGGATATGTGAATATTCAACGAGTTTGGAAGGGACTCTGCAAGATGCTTTTTAAAAAGAATAAACAAGTCAAGGATATTTGGTAAACAGACATTCGTTAAAATGATAATGGGTTGCAAATACTTTGCTTCTATGATGAATTTACTTTTTCTACTGTTCAGTGGCAGACGGTTACTGCCAGTTTCATTTGATCTTAGTAAGGCACAAACTTGATCTTAGTAAATATGGTGACGAGTCTAGGTCTAAATAAATAGTAATAAACATGGCGAAGATTCGACTTTAAGATTGCAAGGGACAGCTACTGGCCTCAGCTTGAATTATTTTTATATCAGGAGACTTTTTTAACTTGATCAGGTGGAGAGCACTTACTTGCTCTGAAAGAATATTGTATAAAGAGAAGGAAAGAGATGGGAGAATATTAAACATCATAGCAAGACGATAATCAGCATTGTTATGGTTTGGAAAAATGCTTGCGTTTGTGCGTTGGTATAAATAGGAAACTGGGATAGCTTGCTTACATTTAGGGTATCACTGTCTTCATCGTCCGCCTCCTGGTTGCTAATGTCAGATAATTTGTGCGGGAGAGTAGTCGTTGGTGATGTTGCAGTTGCAATTAAATATGAAACACGACGGTTTCCTTTCAATAAATATGCTTCCAGATTCCCATCCTGCAAAAGAAAAAACATGATCAGGGCATTAATTAATTACACATTAATGGAGACCAACAGAGAAACAAGATTCCTTTCTTGAATCACAATGTACCCAAGGAACTGTAAGGGGTTATCTTCGCCCCGGTAGTAAAGAACAGCATAGAATTAGGGGCATTCTAATAGTTGTGCTGATGCGCGAATTCAATTTACAGCTTCGTTCTCAATCGATCTCAGATTAGGATTTACCACCTTACTTTTAGCCTGGTTAGGGCTTTTGACATTGTGAGTGTTTGCATTATAGACTAAGTGATGATTTAAAATTTTAAAACTTCGAAACGTTTAAACCTCAGCAGCGAATCACAGTTAAATCCCTTACGAGTCCCAAAGTCTAAAATGTTTGTCCTGTATCCGAATCGCAAGACAACAATTCAGTATAAGGAAGTTTGAAGTATTTTTCAAAATAAAAGACATTAAATTGAACTGTTGCATTTATTACGATATCGATCACACTTGTCTACCTATTGTAACATTTAACATCTTGTCAGTCCATTTTTGTCTATAAACTTGATACGTTTTGTCTACCTGTTCACTATGTGATCTATTCGGGAGTAACTGGCATTGTTAGCCCCACACTTGACCCCAAGATCTGACAATACCAGGGCCTTGGGTGTAAGCTAAGGTTTGTTTGCACCTTGCCAAGTATGCTACTAAGCGACTAGCGTCAATCACAACAAACTCTGCTTCTTTTGCTCTTACGAAACTATTTCTAGAGAAGATTCGATGTATTCTCCACGTTTTCTGAGAACACCTTATTTTGCCTTGTTTAGAAAATGTTGAAACTGAGAGTCGCAAAGTAAATACTTGATAAACAAACAAGACTTTTAAAACATTAATGTGCGAGAACATTGAAACATTAACAGGAAGAACCGCAGGATAGGCTGTCCGCCGGATTCTGTGAATCTTGCAATGAGTAAAATATAAACACGAGGATAAAATTTAGGAACAGAGAAAAACGGCGACGAGAATTCAATGCTATAAGATACATTTTCAAAATAAAAGTATACCTTTAATTTGGTTTATTTTGAAAATTTATCTTATATTATCAGATATCATCAGAAAATTTATCTTATATCATTCTCGTTGCAGTTTTGCTTTGTTCCTGAATTTATCCTCATTTTTAAAACATTTTCGTCGAAAAACATTTTCTTGCTGTATAAAGCAGAACACTTTAGTCAAATTAGGGTCAGCAAAGAAGTGGGCCTGCATTGGAAATTAGGGGCCGTAAGAGTGGATCTACGTAAGAGCAAGGAACTTTGCTTGTTCGCGAAACTCTTATGGAGACAATTTTTAATTGATTTGCTCTTATTCCTATTTTAGAGACGGCAACAGTAAAAATCTATTCTGTTCGTCTAAAATCGGATGCAAAAAGAAAACAAAGAATTATCAGAACATAGAAAGTTTAGTCCAACAAAATCCTGCTAAATTCTAAAAACTATCGATATCAAACAAAAAGTTAATCTCACCACTTCCTTGTTTTCCACAGCTGAATCATCATCTGAAAGATCAGATGAGCTGGATATCTTCTGCTGTTGCGCTCTTTCTTTAGTTGCTACAACAAATCCAATTTTGGCCTTCTCCTCAATCTGAGTATCCCTTTTTCCTATGTTGCCACCATGGGTTCTGATGCCTCGTCTTGCAATTTGATTCCTATCAAACGAGCTCTTCGAATTGCTTTCAACCAAAGTCGCTTGTGACGTTAATGACGTTAGATTACCGCCAACTCTAGGCCGTTGCCCGCGGGAAATGAGATCTTTAGGGTAGGTTACAGTAGTAGACGACTGAGTGTGGTCGTTCTCTGCTAAAGATACGCTCAGAAGAAAGGTGGCATCTCGTGAATTTCCATGATTAACAACATTCTTTTTGACGGCGTTTGAATCATTCTTTGATACGGGTACACGGAAATCGTCCCTAAGGACACTAATAGCGGAAGATTTTTTGCCATTTTCGCCGAAATTACTTGACATCTTGTCTGTGTCTGTTGTACTATGCGGCGCGATTTGTAGCGCCTCTTTGTCGAAATGTTGTTTGATTATTACCCGCCCTTTCTTTGCGGCATTGTCTTCGGTATTTGTTTCCTCTGGAAAATTGTGGCGCAACGCTTTCTTTAGCGTGATAGGGTTGACTGCACCGCGCGATAACTCCCGTCGCGTATCTTCATCGTCCTCACTTGGCGGTGTCAGAATTGGCTTACCAGCAATAAATGTCACACAAGGATCGATTCTTTTTGTTACTTTACAAGGAGGAGTTGATCCACCGCTATTTCGCGTACCCGGCGTGCTTTTACCAGAACTTGAAGTTGAGCCTGTGTGATTTTGATTCACAAACAACGAGCACTTGTAATCTTGCTTAATAACAGGAGCACCCGCTGCAAAACTCACACAAGGATCATATTTGGATACCTTTGTTTTTGTAATCTCAGCATTGCCGTCATCACGTGACCCCTTTCGGGATCCGGCGATTGGTGCGGCCCATTTATTTAGACTTGGCTGCTGCATGTCGAAATCTTGAGCCAACTGCTCTAAGCCAGCTGTGTACCCAAGGGAAGCTCCGTCATAGACGTATTCCTGGTATGCCTAAAATAGAAAAAGGAAAAATGAGATTCTTCCAGCCACTTCGAGTTGAAAAAGCCTACACATAATGCATTTCCTACCTAATACAACATTTTTATCAAAGAAAGCATCTTGTAGACTGATTTTAAAACAGCTAGATCGAGCGACGACTGGGCGCTGTCGATTATCCGAAACATGCCACCATTATAGTTTTCGGCAAAATCTAGTAAAACCCTGGAAAAATCTAGAAGAAAGATTTTACAAACAAGCAAGCTTGTAATGGCGGGTTTCCTGATTAGCGATCAAAACCCACCTAAGAAGTAAAGCAGAAATTAGATTCGAAAATAGTGATTATTCAATTTTATTTGCAAAAAAATAAAATCAACAAGTTAAGAAAGATTGTTGACGCTTTCGAAAGAAGAAAAATCGCTCCATTTTCTGAAGTTGTTCTCCGGCTTACACGGGAACGGAAGGGAACAGATAAATCCACTTTCGTACAACTCTAAGCGTTACAATTATAGAAATATCGCGCGTAAACGCTACCTCTTGGTGTTTATTTTGGAACGGGACTAGTTGGAACGGTCTACAATAGTTACCAAGTCATGGCAACCTACTATCTCGTTTTTTTGCCTTATTTTTTGAAATATTCACAAAAGACCAATTAAATACATATTATTATCTGACAGAAAAATCCATCCCTTTTAGACGAAGGCAATTAAGAGCCACGAAGACCTCTTTATGACGTTGTTGTTCATTCTTTGTTTGTTTTCTTTGCTTTGTTGGCTTTTCTTTCTTTGAATATTAAATTCAAATTGTAAGTGCCCGTCCTTGGAGGGAACTCCGATGACACAGTGTCTATTCCCACCAGGATGGGCACAGTAGTTGTATCATGTATTATTTAGAGTTTTCTTTAAGTGATATAAAAAAAACTTTATGACGTATGATCGTTCGTTGAAAGAGAGGTTATCGGCTTCATGTCGGTTCGTTTGAAGCTGCGCAAGGCCTTTTTCTGGTATGCTTCCCATATCGACTTTATGCAAAAATACAAATTCGCCACAGAAAGATTGACAGATTAGTCTTGGATAAAGCATGGTGTAGAAATACATTTACGTCAAATTTGGCTGGCTTTATTAACTGTCTTAATGAAATATGAACAATGAATAATGCTGAAAAATGAAATCCTCAACACTGAAATCGGTGAGAATAAACACAAAGTCAGATACAACTTGTAACGAATAATAATAAAAAGAATGGTATCCCCAAGGATACTGAGTAAACAAAAAATTCGAAACTTTATTGCGAGGATTGTTTCAAGAGAATAAGATAAGAAAACCGTTCTGGGAAACTGATAAAAAGATGTTTGTAATTCCAGTTTTTGTAACAAGCAATCTTTTATGTCATAACACGATCAAGAATGACCAAGTTTAGAAAGATGATATACCTTAAACAAGTTTGAGGTCGAGGTAATGACGCAAACTACAGCTGTCATAATTGGCTTTAAAGGATGTCCGTGTCTTCGGCCTTAGAAACACAGGACACAACAGAATGGTTTGCATGATCAATGGACAATACGACCAAAAGACCGCATTGCAAAAGTCCCCGTAACGGAAGATATAAGCCACAGCTGAAGACTGAAGGAAATTTGTTTCTTTGCTGTGTGGGATCTCTCAACAGCACTTAATCATGAAACTTTTCACGGCAAATCTATTCACAGAAACTAGTCAAATATCCTAACATTTTGCGTCAAAAGCTAGCGGAAGACGTCTTTGCGCCAAGGATCATAAAACCGATAGGCGCCTAATTTCCAGAGAAGCCAAACAATTAAGGGATATAGTTTCTTCGAAGGGTTCCTGAAGCGCTAGCGGGAATATCATTAGGGCACAGAGTTTATCATCAATGCCTTGACTAGTGCTCGTACAAGATAACCGTATCAGGTTTAATTTCATCATATTTGCCAATAATCTTTTTATCAATCAGTGTCTAGCGGAATACGAAGTATGCAAATATAATTAAAATTCGGTTGATACGCCTAACCTAAAGGTCTGTGAAACATCCACCAACGAGATAAGCGACAGTTTATGACGAAAATAAGTCAACACCCCTAATACTATTTGACTCAGAATCGACAGGGAAACGAAAATGCGATGTTCTTACCATTTTGAAGCGAATCCCGTATTCGAACAAACAAACAACAGTGTTTAACGCGTTCTCCGCTCTCTCATGACCAGACATTCCTGCCATCAAGTTAGCTTAGAAATACCTTCATCGCAACTCCTGGCATCCACTCCAAGTGACTCTAATCTGCTAAAATCGACTGTATACTCTAGTCGCAGCTTTGCCCCCATTTCTAGAGCACAAAGACTCCACAAGAGTTTATTTCCATGGTTTAATGGTGGCATACCTCTCTGGAGGCACAATCTTCATTTTTCAGCGAACTATCACGTGTTTACTTCACAAATCAAGAAGCAATAGGCGACTTTCCACCTTAACTGTTTGCCAAATATAACAAAAGCAACAGCCTCTTCGTGTTTACAGCAAACAAACAAATGAAAGCTCTGAGGCCATAAAGATGCTGCAAAGAATTGCAGGGAAATTCTTTATACAATATCTTCGTCTAAAATTAGAAATGACAAGGAAAAGTCCACTCATAAATTTGTAAGTGCCCGCTCACCAATAATGACACCCCTGTGATACTGAAGAAAGTTAAGTGTTAAGTTGCCAATGGCTGCCAAAGAAATTTTAAAATCCATTTTCTTGGAAAAGAGTGATACATACGCTCCTTCTCCATAGCGCCTACCGTAACGCTCTAAAACCTACGGTAACACCGTTCACGCCCACAAAGCGACGGTCTTGGCTGCTATTGTGGCGAAACAGCTCTAAGTCCTAACACAAGAGTCGCTGCGGTCTTTGCGCAAGCTTTATTGCATCTACAACGAACATTTTGTTGCATCTACATTAAAAATAATTTCACGATAAAATGGAGAACAAGGCCTCGATTCCAGATATTGCACTTGCAGCCTGGTATGGTTATCTTCTAAACTGCATTAAAATTCCTGGCCCTTGGAGTAAACATTGATTTTGGGAGGTGGGAGAAACAAAATTGGGTCGTTGTTTCATTCTGATCTCTTCCATTAGAAGCATATCGCAAACAACTGCCTGGATAAGCCTTCCACAATTATGCACTTAAAAGTTAACGAAAAAGAAAAGAAAAGCAAATATTAGTGCATTATCTTATGTACCCCTATTGCTTTATATAAAAGCTTGTGACAGACTTGACCAATATAGTCAATGTAAGGGTCGCCCTAAACTACTGAGCCTATGTGATCAATATCTGAAAAATTTGAACGCGATGAGCTCTATTAGAAGCACCAGGGGCGATCCAGCAAGCTTATTCACCAAATGGCCCCACCCCTTTAGGCTGCCTCTCACGGACAAATGTCCAAACTGGTTCATCTGATATAGTCGCTGATTTGCTCATGCTTCCAAATTCGATCTGTCTTTTCTCCCACTCAGAAGAGTCGGAGTCAACATAGCTTAAAGCAGCCAATTTACATGCAGAAAGAAGCAAAATATGCCATATTTCAAGTCATAGATCAAAGATTATGAGCCAGTCCATTGAATGCATTTGGAATTAGATAGAAGTCCATATTGCGTACTTCAAAGAACACGCGAGGATTTCTTATGAAAAATTACATGGAAATTGATGTAACGAAAATTTTGCCCTGAAATACATCAGTATATATTTGACAACGAAACCACATATGGCTTTGAATAATAGGCCGCTAGAAAACAAAGTTTAAAAATAAAAGAAACAACCACATTAATATAAATAACGCGATTATGGATATGTGGATTTTCGAATAAACAACATAACTTTATGAAAGCAGAAGAGCTCTAATTTGTAAACATAGAGAAACTGGATTCGGCTGCCAAGCAGTGTGGCGAAACATAAGCTTAAAATGTTTTCATTTACATAAATGTTTTCTCAACAATTCTTATAATGCTTGTTAAGATTTAACGAAGGAAAACAGCCACTATCCTGTTTCTTTATCAGAGTTTTACAATAAATCAGTGCAGAATAATATTCTTGAAAATGTAAATGACAATGATCTAGCAAAGATCAGTGCGAGATGACTTACAAAGAGGGTAGTGAAACAAGCACATGGGCAACACCTTTTTGGCATCTAAGATTGAACTTTGCATTGCTGTTAAACTATAACTAGCTGCGAAAAGGGCCATTGTTAAACAATGCTTTACGTTTCAACCCCGAGATCACGCATGAACCAAATACCTACTTTGCGGGCTCATCTCTGCTCGTCCATCTTCCTTTAAAAGAGAATATACCCAAAGTCGACGTTAACAACAAAAAATGTAACCACCTCATTAAACTAAAACGATGATTTGCTTCGTCTTAGGGCATTCATTCCTTGGAAACCGTATGGAATTAAATACAAAATTCACCTAATTCTCCTAATTTCCACTTACTATTGCGAGATTGCCTGCCATGTAAGTTGCAAAAAGGCCCACCCATAAGTCAACTTTGATCATCGCATACAGAAATGTTGACAAAAATTTATGATCCTATTAAGATAAACGAAAATTTGCCAGGAGCAGCAAAGTCACTTGGCAGTTAATAACATGGTAAATGTGCCACACCCAATCCGAGCTTTCTTTTTGTTGCTTATCCGAGAAAGGGTTTCAGCGCTAAAGGGTACTGTCAGACGGAAATATGGACTCTTTTCACAATTCACGATTCACAGTGAAAATTATGAATTTCAGTGAAGTTACAACTCAGCAACAATGATAAAACTTGGCGAATATCATCACAGGGTGGAGTAGGTTAGGGTGAGTCAAAGGGAGAGGAAAGTTACTGTACTAGCTGCTTTGAGCCTCCTAGTGTGGTTACCAGATTCCATTTGCTACTGGAGGGACTGGATAACCAACATAACCTTGAGGTAATCCTGGAAGCAAATTAACCTACCGGTCTCAGAAACTTTTTTACCTGATACTCATTTCAAAAAGGGCCCACATTTTCCGAAAAAGGGGCGCCAGACTTGCCTCAACTCGTTAAGGGAGGGGCAACTGCCCCTAGTTGCCCCCCCCCCTTAAATCCGCCACTGCTCCAAACAGAATGTGTTCATTCAAACCACACAAGTGACCTCCGTTTAGCACGGCAAAGAATGCGAGAAATGGCGCTTCTTGTAAATATCTGATGTCCAAAGAACTTTTCCAAGTAGACAAACATAAGCAAAGAACTGGCTAGATTCAGTTGTGGAACTGAATCAATAAATGCTAATGGACAAATTACCGCAATATTTTAAAGAACAAAGACGTCTAAATTTGCAAAGATCTGATTAACAGGGGTGGCATGCGTGAAGTTGAACCCAACAGAACCAAAAGCAAGATTGCGGCTTGCACTCCACCATACTAAGAGTCACGTGACTAAATGAGTCCAAAAACATGAGATGAGCCTATTCCAATCTTGGCCTTTGAAATGAACCTTATCAGTCACAATAGGATGAAGACAAAAATACTTTGCATCTATTAACTTTTTCAAAAATATTAAGCTATCAGTATCTTTAAGAAATCTATTAAAGAGGTAAGACTACTTGGAATGACATAAAGATTGTGAGCATACCATCCGGGCAAGACCAGCTTCCTTGCAAAAGCACAAGACACTATGCAATTGACTGATTTCTGAACCAGGAGAGGAATAGATGGATATGACTTGTATATAAAGTGAAACACCTATTCACATAAATTTATTAATCAAGAACAAATAATTTGTCCTTAAATTTCATTCTCGTTTTCAAAGCCTCCAAAAAACAGACAAACCAGAGGACAATGGAAAGCCCTGCATGTTCCCACAATATGAAGGTTTCCATGTCTTCCTTTTCAGGGGCTGTTTTACCCAGCATGCCTTGATATATCACATAAGCGTAACTCTAGTTAGAGAAATATCGACGCTGAAATGTGAATAATCATTTCTATTTTCAGAAAGGTTTAGGCCTTTTTGAAATCGGCGGAGAAATAATACATGTTTAAAGACCAACAAGGATGTATCAAGTTTATCCAGGACATCATGAATGAATAACTATGAACCTCAGGAATAGCAAAAACAAGACTAATCCATGAATTGGACATGTTTTACTCGGCTTTTAAAGGGCTCTATGGACAGAAGCATGGTGTATTTGAAGGATTTACGGTGGTTTCCCATTTATCTTTGTTTAATAGTCAACTGATTCGAAAGATTCGCTCTTGAAAACAAGGTAGCTGGAATCTTATTTCGATATGAGTAAAAGTCGGTTGCCAATCACTGAATATACTTCAGGCAAGAGGAAATGACAGTCGGATTCTGGGGTAATAAACCAAAAGTGAACGATCATATGGTCGAAAGCGAAACAGAGCCAGTATAAACGCTCCGTTCCCCGGTAAACACACATTGGCAGGAACTGCAGCACAGGGCTAAACAAATTACAAAGTCTGCGAAAAGACTGGATTTTACGTTGTGAGGAAACGAAAGGAAACAACACAAACCACACGATGAAAAGATAATTTCATCTACAAGGAACTCGGGTTAAAAGACGAAATAATACGCGCCATCATATTCTGAATGCGTATCATATTTTGATATAAATACCAACATCCTCTGATTGAGTTGGCTCCATTTATTTTTTGTAAAATCTATTTTTTATGACACCTGAGAGTAGAAAATGCTTGCAGTCTTAAATCGAAAGTGAAATAAGGTTACGAACTGGCAATGGCAAAGGAAGCTTCATAATACGACCATAATCAGTTGATGCTATTACAGAGAAATAGTCTAAGCCGATTGTCCTGTCTTATGAGCCTAGGTATTCGTTAAGGCAAAGTTGGAGGCGTCTTACAAAGTTAATTGAAAATTATTCCCTCGGCGCTTCTATAAAAACCGTGGAGCAGTATCTTAAAACTCCAGCTACCTTTCGATTGCAGAAACACAATAATATTGCACAGCTGATGAAAGCATTTAACAGAACCTCCCATAGTTTGCGATGTTCTGAGTTAGCAATATAAACCCTTGCCTGGAAGAAGCCCACGAGGAGATTACTGCACTTGTTTGCAACTAGATCCCTGTTTCTCGGCCAGCTTACAAGCAGCCTTGAAGAGGGGGTAGCAATCAACATAAACCTTGACAACAAGAGGTAGTGTTCGCTATTTGCGCATACATAAAATATATATCGACCAAAAATGTATATCCTGCGATATTGACATGGGAAAGGTTAATGTAATTTGATGGATTTAGTTTTGGATCAAACAAGATACACTGAAAATTGAATTAAAATTTATTGAATAAATAATTTTACTTACCAGTTGCAGTATGTCTTCATCCCTCGGTACAACCCCGATTTTCAAATCACCATCACTAGAAGATTTAAAAAATTCTTTGTCAGGATATGCATTCAAATTTAAATGACCGGTAAGTAACACAAAAGCTAAGCACAGCTTCAAGCGATTGTCGCAAGGGGGCCTCGTGCGTTTTCCGATGCGTTTTTTCCAGTGGCAGTTTCCTTTAATGGCAAATCTAGAAACAAGTGAGTGCCAATGTTTCAACTGTTGCTAGATGCGAATTATGGGTGAAACTACGCCCTGTTGCACAGCTTAATTCCACGTTAATATTTCGGTTTAGACAGGGCAGATTAACTTCTCGATGGTTTTCTAAAGGCGCTCTGTCTCAATGCGTCTGTGGTTCTATTCATTCTTCTGTACTCTATTGCTAAACAATAACATCCTCTGCATTTTTTAGAATAAGGAGCACAACTGCGTTGAAGTGCCGTATAATTTCCATCAAACTTACAATCAAGTCTGCGAGTCAGCTAGGACCGTAAACTTTTGTCTTCTTCATTATGCGTGGATATGTCGATGTAAGATCGCTCAGTTGCATCTGATCCTCGCCGTAAAAGTCTCAGACGGGGGATATCTCAAAGACAATATCACCTCAAATGCACAGCTTCGAAATTTAGTCCCATTTATGACCTTGTTCGAGGTCAGATCAGATGGCCTGTTTTATCAATGGGCCACTCAAAAACCACAAGTTCAAATTACCTACAGCTCAACAAATATCGCCAATTTAGCGACCACTTCATCATTTAGATCTAGACAGGTATCCAAGTAGACTGGGAAAGAGCGAATAATTTAGACACTAAATTACATTGTTCCAAGTATAACTCTTCGTCGGGTAGAAAGAAGTCCTTGCAAGAAGCATGTTTCGGGGAAGTGTGGATCGGTCTAAACCAATCAACGTACAAGTTAAAGGCCCTTGTGCAACCGGCATGCTTTGCGACCATATCATAAACACCGGCCTAATTTCACACTGCATGAAAATACCAAACACAGTCAATCCTCATGTAAAACCAGCTACCACAAAGCATGCCGGTTTAGCCAGAGCCTTTAATTGCTCTTAACCAATCAAATCTTAAAACAGATAAATTAGTGTTAGCATTTCATCCGCAGTTTTAACGATCGTGATAAATGAGGAGAAGCTGCCTTTTAAATTGGGGAGTAATATAGTTTCGAGAGTATAGCTAGATACAAAGAACACAAAAAGAATAAAAATTGGAATGCAAAACGAGGCGGAAGATGGATCAGTGGTTAGCGTCAAGGAATATAGTTTCAAGGGTTGGGGGGTTCGAGTCCCTGCCATGACCAAATTGTCAATTAGACTGAGAAACGTCGCTAGCTCTCAGTAAATCCAGGCGTAGGAATCACGAGGTTGGATCATAACTTCAAAGTGACCTCAAAACTACCTTCTGCAGCTAGGTAGTAACAAATACAAATACAATATAAATCAAAAATAGATGCAGAGGGGTGGAAGAAAGAATAAGAATAACATTGGAAAGTATAATAGATAATTCTCTGAAAATTATTTGCTTGAGAAAAATGTGCCTCTACAAGGGCCTTGCGTTATTTAGGATTATTTGGTACACAGCAAAGTCAAGCAAAGTCTGTTGTAGGATGCTTTTCTTTGAAGATGCACTGAACCTAGGATCATCTTTGGATGTCTAAAGAGGAACTTTCTTCACTAGATTGAACTGTCTTTCTTTCACTCCAAATTTCGTAACATTCAACTATTATTCACGCATCAATTTGCTTTTTGCGTTCTATTTAAACCGCTTCTCATTCATCGACGTAGAACACGCTTTAATTACATGTATTATATCATGATGTGGTGAATGTGTAGCACCAAGGTCTTAGTATAGATTCTTGATTTCCCACAAATGGCAAACATATCATCCAAAATTGGATACGTAACGTCTGCAATATTTGTAAAAATGCTGCAGAAAAATATCTCGTCTTCAGTTATGTGATTCTTATGTATCCAGCAAAACTAAAATCATAAAACAATACTTTAAATTTCAGTGCCTCGGCTCAAAAAGACCATCAAATCGGACAGAAAACGAACTTTCTAAAGAAGAAACCACAAAACTGGAGAGGGATAAAACAATTAGACTAGCCGATTACAAGAGAAACATACTTTTATTCATTAACTAAACAATTCAACATTTAAGGTTGGGGTGTTTTAATGTGAATCACTTTAATAACTTTCAAAGTAGTATTATATTTCTATTAAAATATCGGTTAGGGCAAATCTCTTCATTCAGAATATGAATCGCCATTGATAACATTGACGAACCGTTACGACCAATGAATTGTATTAGACATTATCAAAGAGAGGTCAATAAAGCTTCAAGAAGAGGCTACAGCCCTGATTTTGCTGACAGGTGCAAAACGGTAAAAAGACGAACATCAAATAGCCAAAGGCCCTGGTGAATCGTAGAAAAAATCGTATTAAACACCGCATCAGAACATTACCAAAAGATCTTCATTTTCTTTAGATTCAAATTATCTTTAGTTTCAATAAAAGGTCATAAGAAAAACAAATTTAATTGCAGTGTTACTGAGATTCTGGACATACAATGCCTGCCAAAAGTCTTGGAACACTGACATCAATTTCCAAGGTCAAAACCAATCATCCCCCTCTCCCCCACGGAACAATGTTGGTTTACTATCAAACGGACTAGGATTTTAGGAAGCACTTTCTTTTGCGCTTCTTTTATGATATTTCTCTAAATCATCAACATTGTTTGAGGGGGAAGGGGGCGGAAGTAGCAAATTTTTTTCATGAAAGGAATGAAAGATATCAAATGCAGCGTAAATTGGTGGGTGTTCCAAGTACTTTTGGCAGGCATTGTCTGAATTTCATTTTGAAGCTTATTAGATATTCCACCAAAACCAATATCCTCCTATAGGTTTTTGATGGTGCTGATTCCATTTCTGCCATTTTCAACATCGTACGTGTTACCGATAAGGAGATATGGGGGTATTGTCTCTTTTCGGGGGTGGGGGTAAGCTACCCCCATAAAACTAAATGCCATATTTCAATTAAGGTGAAAATTGCTAAAATCAAAATCGATTTCCAATAAATAAGATCAAGATTGTATTTTGAATCTTTTCAAAGGCTCGTAGCCAGATGGCTGTCTAAGAAATAATGGGATAGATGAAGGAGACAAATATGAGTGGCAGCTAGAAAATAATCTAAAAATGGAAAGGATGCAATTTTATAAAAGTGACATCGATTCCTCTGTTTCATGTTTCTAATTATAGATAAGGTCGTATTTGAGAATTATGTCGGGTAGTTGCTCTCCTTTTATCACGGATTTACAAGTTGTCATTCATATAGGCCCTTGTTGTGCAATTCAGTGCCCAAATGACAAATTTCAGAGTGTTTACCTAAATTGTAGAAAGGAACCCCGTGTTTCCCACATCAGAGTTCCCAACTGATTGATCTACTATTCCATGTTGGTTGGTAAGGGAACTGAAATAAAACTGACATCCACTCGCCTTCCTGCGCTCCTAAATGCTTGGTCCAGAAGCACTACAAAGAAAGCCCTCTTCCCTACTGTTACTGCATTGCCAAAATGGCCTTTAAGTTAGACTCTACCTGCTACTTTTGTCTTCATAAAGCGCAAGGCAGATTATTTCATCGTTAATTGATTGCTGTATTTGTTTGCGTGACATTTGCCACAACAAAATATATTATTTCATCGAATGTAGCGCGCGTCGATGTGAAGGACAAGGCCCCGCAAGGCAACTCTCACCCTCGGAAATGAACGCTTGTAGACCGTTGTGTAGACCGTGGCTGTTTCTTCGCAATTTTCTGACTTGTCAGGGGGATGTTTGCCCCCAAATTCACCCAAAAGGTGTATAATAATACCCCTCAAAGATAAAATTAACCTTTGTATGAATTCCATGAAGAAAACGGCAAAATATGACGAGAATCCCACGGTCTACACTCAAAAGGAGAATAAGATCTAGAGTACTTCAAATTCAATTCTCAGAATGTGTAGACCGTTGACACTTTCCTGAATTTCTTCAGTTTTACAACTTGTATCGATCTGAAAACCTACAATATTGTTTATACCAGCCATGCACACCTACTGACGAGGTTTCGTCTACTTTCTTTGAAAAATACGATTTTTATGAACATTTTAAATGTGTAGACCGTGGCTGTAGACCGTTGGTAACCATTGGCAATAGGCATTTTCATACTACATCACGTGCCCATTAGGAAAGGAGCGTTCTTTCAATTCCTAGCATACTTTAACAATGGAAAACGAACAATTATAATTGGCACAAACCATTTTCCAATTACTGGGACAAGGGAAGATAGAAAATAATAGGGAATGGGGTGTCTATGAGCGCTACCATGTTGCCACATGTGAATGCGAAGGAGCATAGCCTAAGCAAATTTATTAAATTCGTAGATGGTTTTGGGAGGGTTATGGTGGATAAAATTGAGCCATTTGAACAGTTTCTCACCAGCATGTTGTTCGCAATTATTTATATCATGCATAGTTTGTAGACATTCTCATGAATTTTTTTGTTTTTTCATCAACAATTAAACCATAAATAAGGGGACTTTTAAGCAAAAAACACTTTTTCAAAAGCACTAAACTATACTGTTTTTCCTTTGAAAATTGATAGTTTTCTTAAACCGATGATCGAATTCTGCACAAAATACTTGTATTCAATAATGATTTAAATGATATTGACGGAAAAAATCAGTAGAATGTTTTTTGTAACAAATAACAATACTCGGATATCTACTATATCAATCGTTCAGAGTCCAAACCCCCTCCCCCCCCCTTTTAACTGGGTAAAGAGTGAAAATTTCGAATTTTCATTAGTAGCATTGAGATCAGCACCATCGAAAACCCTAGGGTAGCACAATGTTTTGATATCGCAGATTGCTGTTTTCGAGAAAATTTTCAGAATGCCTGCCAAAAGTCTTGGAACACTGACATCAATTTCCAAGGTCAAAACCAATCATCCCCCTCTCCCCCACGGAACAATGTTGGTTTACTATCAAACGGACTAGGATTTTAGGAAGCACTTTCTTTTGCGCTTCTTTTATGATATTTCTCTAAATCATCAACATTGTTTGAGGGGGAAGGGGGCGGAAGTAGCAAATTTTTTTCATGAAAGGAATGAAAGATATCAAATGCAGCGTAAATTGGTGGGTGTTCCAAGTACTTTTGGCAGGCATTGTAGCTACGGCAAGCTCAAATCGTATACAATTATTGGGAGGGGGCAACAGTCCTCACTTTCTCCCCCCAGACGTTACACATCTGAATACGCGGCATGTAAGATGACACAAAAATACTCGATGTAAAGAGAACAGATGGAGTACTTGATGTAAGCTGTACAATGGGTCAAAGCTGGAGTGAGAGGGAACAATTCAATGACCTAGACTAGAAGGACATGGCATTACGGAGCATGAATCTACTAACGAAGATTACGTGAGACAGAAAATGTTTTTAATGAATTAAGACTAAAGCTTATGCAATCTTGTATCTAATGAGCGATGTTGATTTGATCAAAAGGTTCCGCTCGCGAATAAGCAATAAGATTTCCTGACTTACAACAAGGCAGTCTTTAATATGCAATATCTACTCGGACTTCGTTATGTTTGCGCTAAACAACAAAAAATCTCATTCATATGCAAACGAACAAATTAATCATTTAGTTTTGATTCTAAAGCCATGGCAATCAACGAACCAAATGATTTGGTTGCAAGCAGAAAATCTGTGGTCAAGCAATCATGTAAGATTCCCGCGGATTACCAAGAAGTGATTACAAACAAGCATCATATTCTTCAAATTACCTTGCACACATTTTTCTTATTAAGGCACTTTTGAAAAAGGTTGCATTGTAGCAGGAAACGTGGAAGAAACCTTCAGTTTGATGGAAATAGGCAGACGTGTAGTACGAAAGACGAAAACATAAAAAAATGAGTTAAAAGACTCATGCAACGGGAAGATTTCTAATTTCAATGTTATTCGTAAACGCTTTATCTTAATGCTATGCCACAAGCTATAAAATTTCTTAAGTCATCTTCGACCCCTACACGTGGACGTTTCATTTGTATTTTCCAAGGCAGTTATTTTCTTAGATTTGTAGCTAGTAGCATACAGCGAATATCATCATATAGTAAGTATAGATTTCGAGCAGAACAGAGGCTGTGTGTGATATCTTTCTAAAACACCTTAATAGCCTACACTCAGCCCTCCAGTTTACGTTTGAAAAGAAAGAAAATGATTCCTTGCCATTTTTAGATGTTTTGGTCGAAAAGTCTAACACTGGATTTCTTACCAGTGTATATCGCAAGCCCACTTTTACCGGTCAGTACATACGCTGGAATTCATTTTGCCCAAAACAACGCAAAGTCAACCTTGTCAAAATATAGTAAGTAGCATTGCGTGACACCTTTCAATGTGTGAGGATTCTACACAATAGACTGCAAAATCTAATCTGATATTATGTTACCACACTTCGCTCTTATTGTTCCTCTTCGCTCGCGGTCGAGCGGAGATTGCAAGTCTGCTGGAGCACAGGCAATGCCCAGAACTTTTCATTCTCAGTCACTCCGCTTATAGTTACTCCGCTAAATGTCACTCAATTGGTTACAGTCACATAAAATTTAGTCCCAAACATGCAAAATTATTCAATTTAGCTCCGTCTACAGTCGCACTTCGCTCTTGGCACAGCTTTTACAGCTTGTGACTATAACTGCAGTCTTCTGTACCCTGACAATTCATAACAGGCTAGTGACTACCATTTTTGAAAAGCGTCTACCGATGTCACCTTTCTGCTCACCCGCGCACTTCAAGTGACCTATACACACTTCATGCGTTGTGTGCTGAAAATTAAACCGCGGGTAAAGAATGGGCATTAAAGCCAAACAAATTCATATCTATATTTCAGCTAAATGATTACCGTGATTATCAAGCATAAAAATATCGTTTGAAAAAGTCACGGTCAGAAGCCTAATTGGAAAATTAATCTGGCCAGTTGCGATCTTTTTCAATATAAAGGAAACATGAGAATGCTGAACCAGTTGTCACGAGAAAGTTTGTGATTAAATAAGCAAAGGTAAAAACTGAAATATAAGTAAAATAAGGAAATCAAAGTTAAAATAAATTCTAAACGCAAGGTGATACGAAGGTTAAAAGCAAAGGTTATGAGGCAAAAACCTGACACATCTGAAGGAAATTAGTAGAGCGAAAGATGATTGTTGTAATATGATTAAAGTTTGATATATCATGATATTTCATTTCAAACTTCACGGAGGACGAACGACGGTAAACAGCATGTATCCTCAAATTTCTCCTTCTAAAACATGAAGCAGTCGAAAGTTTGTTGCATTCAATCAACCTTCGCGGTAATTGCCTGCCACGTCGCCCAAATGCTGATTTTTTTATGCAACAAAGACCTCGAATGAACAGCAAAACAAAATAAGAAAACAACATACACACATTGGTAGAAACAGACCATAACAAAGACTTTGTAAACAGAAAATGGACTTTGCATATTTTGCCAAAACATATAACTTGTCGGCATGAAGGGAAGATATTTTTGAGAGTGGAAAAAGCAATCAGATCGGCCTGGTTTGATACCTGCTTGGAGGCAAAACCAAAGTATTTGTATTCCATGTTTGTGAACAGTGAAACAGAATACTATCCACATGGAAGCATGGAAGACCTTGAGAGAACCCAAACAAAACTGGTCATTTTCAGAGTCAGTAACTGTATAAATTGAAACATACCTCATGATCATATTCAGGTTGGCAGGTAGATGAGAACAAATTGAGCGCGGTGAAATTTACAGAGCAGCTTGAGCTTTCGATAAAAACAGCACCAGCAACATAGAGGTCGAGTTCTGGCATCAATGTTAAGAATATGCTACGGATATATCTCGATATTGAGGAGGATATTTACAAATTGGATAAAAAGAAAACCGTCATAAAACAATAATAAGATCTTTGGTAAAGCAATCGACTTACCTAAATCGTACTTTCAACCAAGCAATGCCATCATTTAATCGCTTTAAAATTATTGTGCTTTATAAATTGTGTGCCACGCAGGTATCATGCAGCATGCACAGAAGAAAAAAAATCTTGCAATAGCTCATGCAAGAAACATGCAAGGGATCCTAGGAGACGGTGCATATATGTATGATGAACGAAAATCAAAAGGCGATTTTATTGAGATTTCGATATATCAACTTTTCAGGGAATTACTAATCCCAACCATTCGAGAAAAGTAGTAAAGACGAAAGACCGCGTACATATATATATGTATGTTTAGAGGCATAGCAGTTGATAATGAACAAAACTCTGTCATCTGTGTTTTTATTGAGTTTTCGATATGCTATTAAAGATGTTTCAGGGAGCTACTAAGGAAGATCAAAATAGCGATCAAGTGTGGGTGCCAGCCAGGACGTAGGGCATGCTGTCCCCTACAAGAGGAGGCATAAAGCACTACTATTCCGAACCAATCTTTGAAGCTTGGAAAAGTGAGTATTGGAGCTCTGAGCTAGACACTGTTTTGGCGTTTTCTCTGAAGTACGTGTTATCATACCCAAAATAAAGTGGATATTCACATTGCCGCAAAACCAACCTGCACGACTTTAATAGCAAACACAACTTTCCCTAAAAGCACTATTGCTGATAAAAACTTCAAGAACAGCTATTTGGGGTCAGCAGTAAAAATTAACCTTGTGTAACAACAACCAAGACAAGTATCGATTCAGAAAAACCACAGCTTACAACGAAATATGAAAGATGACTCGCTTCATTTTATGATTTGACCAACAGCACTTCAAAGATTAAAACTCACAAAGAGGCTCTTTGTTTAGAGCAAAGATGGACGAGTTAAATTCGCGAAAACCATCACGTGCGATTAATTAACGCTAAAAGGTTTCCCAAAAAGTGATATATTGTCACTGTAGTAAGCTCAAAAGAATTGGTACGAAAATATTTTATTCGACACATGCAAGTTCTCATCTCCACCGCAAAGCGTTGAGATTAAAGACATTTTCAATTAATTTAAGGCGTGGTTTGCGAATGTTAATAAGACAGAAATGTTTTTCCGACTCATAAACCACTTAACTTACTTCAAAACATGCTTGTCAGCGAGACGAACAAGCAAAGGCCATGCGTGTCGAATTCTCAATACTATTGCGCATGCTCTACTCTGCAAAAACGGGGGTGATTGGTTCACCAACAAAGTTGATTGCTGGCCTATGTAATATATAGATCAAATCGTGTATGGAACATTTCTCGTTGAAAAACAAGTCGAGAGCTACACCACAAAACAACTGTCATACATAAGCTATTTGATCCTGAAACAATCTCTGCCAACAATATCTTGAATAATAGTCTGCTTTTCCAATTTAGTTGCCAATCCATGAGCATTATGATTGACTTAACAGAGCCTGTCTGATAAACAGTAAAGCATAGACTTATTTTTGACACAATAATTCTGCTGGAAACCGCTACAGCATGGCTTTAAGTCACTACAACTTCGATCACCAGCAAACCATGATCGTAAACAGCTTCATGAGCCAAGGCTACCACTCACTAAGTAAAAAGCAGGTTACAAAAGTGTGTCAAAGACTTAACAAAGAAAGGACCTTGCTTCCGTTTGGTTCTCTGACGCAGGCATGGGTCAAAGAAGGTCTGGTAGCCAGCTTTCGAAGAGGGCGATCTGAGGGTTTATTTTTTGATGATACCGTCGGTTTTGGATAACAACTGAAAAGTTTGATAAATTGATGTTAAGAAGCCCTTTTGATTCAATGAATCCTTCGACCAAATCTATGAAACTATCAAGCAATGGTATCTCGTCACAAGCGTCCCAAGTCACCTGTTTTTAATACCTGTAAACCTGCGATTTTGTTGCAAGAAAACAAGATCCAAATTTGCGTCAAAAATCACAAGTTTGTGCAAACTCAAACCTCACTGGTTTCTTATTCACTGAGATTTTAACGCGGGTAAACTTTGAAATTCTCTTCTTTGCATAAAAACCAGCAGGTGACAAGCATCAATTTATAGGACCGAGGCTGGTTCTTTCAAAGACAAAATGAGGTCGATGAATGAGAAATCGATTTCTGAAAACATGAAATTTACAGGGGGAAGGTTGTTATAGGATATAACCTCTTTTACACGATAAACCTCTCAATCATCAATTTTTTCCGTATAACGGGAGATTGGTATTTGGCACTGATTAAGGATGTCGAGACATCAAAGCCTTTACAGCCCACATCTGAGCCAGAGTTAAGCTTCCTGACTATCAGAAATATGGAGTAGCACACGTTTGTACTGAAAAGCAGTTCTGAAGGCAACTCATGAACAGGTTCTCGGCCTTGTAAAAAGTTCGGGATGGAAACTGTTCGCAAACATACACAGTAATCGGAAATTAATAGAAATAAGTATGACTTTCATCACAAATAATGATAGCTTTTGTCACAAGGACACATTATGGGGGCCTAATACCAAATTCAAATTCAACTAAAAAGTATGACAAGGAAACCTTTCCGTGGAAGCTAGAAAAATTTCACTGCAAACTTCTTAAAAATTTCAGATTTCGAATATCAAAAGCCACCAAAAAGGATTTTCAAATAAGAGCTAGGCCTGTTGTTAGTAAAACTATCCTACAATAAATCATTAAGATTTCTGCAAAGGACAGTTCTCGGATAAGCAATTCAAAGCAACGTGGATCGTGGATATTTCAATAAGCATCCTACCTGATAATGCATAGCGTTTCAACTGGATATCCGAGTAGAAATGAGGTCAATTCCTTCCATTCACAAAATAACCCATATAGTAGCGGACATGTAGAATGGATCAGTTGTATAGGAAGCATGTATAACGGATCAGTATAAATCCACCAACGGAAAAAAGCCGGAGTGAAAAGAATAAAAGGTGGCTTTTTCCCTGCATTGGAACAGTGCAGTAAAAGCTAGCTTGCTTTGATGCCAACCTTTACAGAACGAATCCGAAAACAATTCGTTGAGCAAACAGTCGCTAAATTTAATCACTTGATGTAAATGGACAACATTCGTTTGTTTGATCGATAATCACTTCTTTACATCGCAAAGAAGTGCGAAATTCATATGAGAAGAATGTTTAACTCAATATTTTTAAGCTGTTTAGTTTGAACCAAGGAGACCAACTCAGCGGGATGCTTTTCATATCGATTCACAACAAGGAGCCAAATGCCAGACTCACGTCTCAAAAGAGCACCAGTTTCATTCACAACGTTGAATTTAGAATGACAAAACCTTTAACACGAGGCTTCATTTTGAAAGGTGTTTCGAAGTTTTTTGTTAATTAAGGCACCCTTCGGCAAGGCAGAATGAAAACACTTAAATATTCTTACATTTCATATGGAAAACTGCCATTGCCAGATTCATGCGCATCAATGACAGCAGCAACAACAAAATTGTTAAAACACAAACAGAAATACCAGGATGATATCGCTTGGATAACACCGCTTGGTCAAAAAGGTCTTAGAGAATATTCGGGCTTATCGTCCTTCCCGCCCGTATTTACCAGCAGCGAAGGTATGGTTCATAGAGAAAAAAATCACGGAAAAATAAATAATTTGATACATTTTGAGACTATGGCAGCCTTTCCACTATGGCAGCCATTCCACTAGCCCGGGCTAAAACAAAAACGGGTTAAAAGTTATCCGTTTCTGCGTCGCGTTCCCACTAACCCACTTGACAGACGGATAAGTTTAAAAACGGGTCCCCACGTGGATCAGTTTTCACCCGGGTATCTTTAAACCCACCTGTGGACTAGTGGGGACGCCAAAGCCGGGTAACTTTTGATCAACTTACAACAACAACAACACTTACAACAACAAAACTCAAGGACTATTGTTGTGAATACTGATTCTCTCATAGCTTGGCATGTTTTGGTTTCTGTTTATAATAATATAAATCTAACTTACCTGAAGTGTTGTGGGCCAACGACACATTTTAAGCCTGGGTTTATTTTAACCTAGCTTAGTGGAAACGATCAAAAACGAGCGAGCAACAAACGAGCTCAAATCAAAACGAGCTCAAGGCAAACTAGCGTTCCAATTAACTTACTTACATTTTAACCCGTTTTAACCCATTTTAACGGATTGAGATATTCCTGAGATGCACATATTTTTGTAAACCAGCCACATGCTTCTAGGTAGTAATGTCATGCATATGCTTAGAACTGGCATAAATGGAAAAATAACAATAAATAGGTGTTAACGCCCTCACAGGACCAGGTACTCGAAAGAGAAAGACTCCCATGCACGCACGATAAACCATTGGATTTTACCCCTTTCATAGAAACAAAAAAACATTAAACATGACAAAAATTCGACTCACCAAGCCTGGATAAGTTCCACTACTTCAGTGTGAGTCTTTCCACCAATTAGATTCCCGTTTATTGATACAATTCGATCTCCTAGAGGCAAGGAGTAACAGTTCAATGGTCTGAAGAAAAAATAACATTGAGAAATGAACTGCTCCCTCATAATTAACGATCATGAAGGACATTTCTACTGAGGGTTATTCAAAAAATAGCAGCTGTGATTTTCTGGTGATGAAAATCAACAATGTTTTAAATTAAACCGTATTTAAATTACACCGTATTTACAATACATGCATTTATTTTTAAAAGATAAATGTCTAGCATCATTCGCGAATTTTGCTTCAACTTTTCTCGTTAAAATTTTCGATCCTCTCTACATGAGAGTAGCACAAAGTCCTGCAAAATTTCTGTAACTCAATGAATGGCAGTTCTACGGGCCCTTTAACCTGTGGAAATAGGTTCTATATCTTAAATGAACAAGTCAACCAAAGCCCTCGAATAACGCAGCCTTGAACGTCCTGGTTTTAATAAAAAACTAATCAACAAGTGTTCAAAAGGGTTGACATTGTCGTAACCATAAATTAAAGTTTAGCCTAAAAATTTTGCTTGATAAAATATAAAGTAAACAAATTTGATTGTTTGACGTGTTAAAAAGCCAAGCAGACATTGCCGTGCTCATTAAATGGGCCTTCTATTTGCACAGGTTAAACAATGCAGGTTAGTGCATTGGATTTGATAAGAATAACGACCAGTATACCAGAGCCAACGACGTGGGTGTCGTCGTCTGCTGGTAACTGTTTTGTAATTCAAAGCAAATGTTTGCTATATCACATTTACCGAGACCAAAAAGCCATTTCTTTTGAAAGGGCGAGGCACTGTTTTCATCAGCCAAGCTGGAAAAAGTAGGGCATGGAAAGCTTAACAGAGGGAAGAGCTCATAGAAGGTTGATGACTTATATTCGAGCCCAGTGGTGCGGCACTGTTTCAGGTTTTGTAGTCCGCATGTCTACGGCCAGTCCAGATGAGTGCACGACCCCCCCTTCTCCCTCCTTTGGAAGTATACAGCAATCAATTCAAAAAATGAAATCGATCCTTCCATGGGATCGATAGAGGAATCGATCCTTTCATGAGTAACAACGACTCACCAAGCCTGGTTAACTTTTGTTAAAGCCCCTATTTTTCCTTGGTAGGTCATAAAGTTTTCTATCAAAAAGCGATTAACCCTGAGCCATTTAATGTCCCGAAACACACCTGTTGCCAAGCATTTCCAACCAAATTCATCATCAGTAACAAACTGGAAGCTAATCAAGTAGCTTGAACATTTTGCAAAAACATTACTCAAAGCAAGAGTCGCCAGTAGACGCTGCATTACTTAAATGTGATATTAATTATGAGAAGCAAAATCAACTTCAATCTTTCATATGAGAATTCTTTGAATTACCAGCAATGCAAAGTGACCAGCTTCAAATTCCTCATTTATTTAAACCATTAGTTAATCTGTATGACCTAACATCTAGAAACTCGACCCATACACAAACAACTCGGTAAAAACAAAGTTCCGAGAAACGTAAAAAAAAGATCACATACTGGGATGGATTTTAATAAATTTCTCGGAGGGAGTTTACCAAAACAATTTCAATGTAACTTTTAACATAATCTTTTTTGAGAACGCTCGTAATTAAATCTCTATTCTCTACTTTTATCAGAACAACCTCCATTTCGACAACCTCTATTTTGACGACCTCAATTTCGACAACCTCTTTTTCGTCAACCTCAATTTCAACTCCCTCTATTTCGAAAACTTCTATTATGACAACCTCATTTTCGATAACTTTTTTTGCAAGCCTCTTTATCCAGGGGTCCATACGTAAAATAATCTCCTGTCTCATTTCCCGCAAAACCATTAAGGCTATTGCCATTTTTGCATCTATATCACTTGTTGCTTTAAAAATTCTAGCTTGCAAGTAATTTTCTAAAAAAATTTTAACAGTCTCTTTAATTCTTTTTCTACGATTTAAACACAGTAGAGTCAATGCCTTAAAGCTGCCCATTCGCCCTTTGCACTACCTTAAAAAACCCCTCTGGCCATCGCCTCTGGCCATCGCCTCTGGCCGTCGCCTCTGGCCGTCGCCTCTGGCCGTCGCCTCTGAACGTCGCCTATGGCCGTTACCTCTGGCTGCTTCTGTGGTTTTTAAGGGCCTTTACTGAGGTTAACTGCCTTGGCATATCATAATATCTTGCAAAGTTCTCATACCTCTCAGCTTACATGAACCTTTCCATCATCTTTCTAGAGAGGGTTTCAGGGGGAAACCCAAATCTCGACAGTATCTTTGATCAGCCATATCAAGGTTCTAATTTTCACACAAGGTTACACAAAATCAACGCAAAAGAACACGTTAGAGAAAACCGTATTACCAGTCGATTGGCCTGGTACAGCAGAACGTGAAAAATCTGACAGAACGTGACAAATCTACAGTAGCCTTTGGAAACCCCACAAAATAACGCCTGTCTGTGCGTTTTAAATCAAGATCAATATCAACAAGGCTGAGACCGAATAAGACTTTATGGAGAAGCGATAAATTGAAATTCCTTAACAAAGCAAGCGAAGTCCTGGACTTAAAATCCGACAAAATATTGGTTAACCTAATTCTCCGCGCCATTACAACATCAAAAGAACTCATTTCAAAAGCGAACCTTATTTTTCCAAGGCAATAGACAAACTGTATCGGTATCAATCATGCATCAACACATGTTAAGGCAATAACGTATAAATGTTAATCAGCATTTACGTAACACCTCTAAACGGTTGGCACAGCAACAAGTTTAAAGCTTTCAACTAAAAGCTTAAAGCTTAAAAACGAAATAGTTCAGCATTTAGGGAAACTAATGCGCTGTCGTTATTAGAAATACTTTTTCAGCCTGAAGCTATCAAAACAGAACAGTTGCTAGAGGGGTGAAGTATCACTTTATGCTTTCGTCTTATGCTCTCATAAATCTTATTCACAATTATGCTTTCGTCTAATGCACAAAAAGCTACGCTATTCAAGGTCCAACTGAAAGGAATTTGTGTTCAAAGTTAATGAAAAGAAACGAGTACGAAGGCTCAAACGTTGCACGGAAATGAAACATACATATATATGGTCTTTTTCGTTAACATCTTTAAACAATAATGACACAAAAAGATTTTGCGATGACCAATGCTCACCTTCACACAACCCGGCCGACTCAGCAGCACCTCCAGGGGCAACATTCTTTACAAAAAAGGTATCCAGAGGTTCTGGTTTCTCATCCGTCACATCTTCGTTCGTTTCAAAATCACTCCAGCAGTTGTCTTGATCATCATCATCATCGTCGTCTCCCTTAAAAGATAAGAAGCTAGTTGAAGACTCAGAATTCAAGACGTTTTCCAAGATAGGAATCAGTACTAATTTACTGAAACCAACCAGGTAATTTTCATTTGGCCAAAGCCTTCTAATCGATGGTTAATCTGACTTGTCAGATTTTAGTTAACTCTCGGCAGATCGTTTAATTTCCAGCCTTTTATTTCCAGCAACAATTCAAAGCCGTTTTCCAAGGCCATTTTTTCTTGACCTGCTCCAAAAACCCATTCTAACATTCGTCAAAGATCATAAGAGATCACATGTTACGCGATCTCCGGTTATTCCACGGCTTTTCGCAAGTCCCGTCGTAGAACCTATTATCTATTGGCTGGACCTTCAGCATAGAAGAAATATAGATTCCGTCCTGGCATAACACTATGACTAAAGGCCATCGCCGTTTGTCTATGCGTCTACGACTTTTCTACTTACTTGCTTATCATTCTACGTAACGTTCATTAGAAAGAGCAGTATCTCTGGGGCGTGGCATTTCCTTTCAAAACATTGGTTAATACTTCCAGTAACTTAAGTAAAATGAAAACAGAAGAGTGAAAAATTAATTTACGTACACACCCCAATTACGGCTATTTCAGACAAATTATTTTGTCGAATGACAAGGAAACGTTGTTAACTTGAATTTGCACAAACAAAAGTGACGGGGAGAGCATCTTAACATCAATTTGGCAAAAGGGGGTTCTCGCATACACAACCCTGAGCGAAGAAATTTCTTGAAACAGAAATATCATCTTCTAAGTTCATCATGTCTTAATGACTTATGAGGATAGTCCATTACTCTTGTTCTCATATAAAGTAAAATAATATTTAACTTTATTCTAACTAACAATTTTGAATTTCTGAATTCAAATTCTGAATGGAGCCCTAACAAGCCTCCAATCTTGATTTGTATCTTAACTGTCATATTCAAGGTAGGCAGCTTGCTTAAACTGAAAGCAAAGATAAAATTCTTTTCTCTTTGCCATGGCCCATTCATAGCACTTGATGTCATATTTTTGGGGCATTTCTATTAATTTGGGAGATGCGTCATACCTCAAACATGGAAGTTATGTTTGAGTGAAAGGGATTAGACAACCGTAAAGAAGTATGCTTGATCAACAATCAGTCAGGCTCTATCAGGTCATGTTTACCTATGGCAACTGACCTTCAAGGTGCAACGAGAAAGCAGCCTAACTATCTTGATGACGTTGGATTGACGACGAAGTTAGACGTACCTCAATTACATTAAATTGCAATCAAGAAAGAGCCAATACGGCATATAAAGGCCAGGCACGTGACAACTTACCCCTTTGTAAACACAAGAAGGCGGGTAAACAACAAAATATCTTAATGTAAAACCATATCCATCGGCATCACGTGGAACGTTGATTGTCCTCGGCCCAGTCCAGTTGCGTGATCCAGTGCTAGGACGCTGAACTGGCTTTGATTGAGTCTGCATTGAAATGGGATGCACCTAGAAAAACAAGAGAGCATTTCAGAAAAATGTACGTTGAGGTTTAAAGCAGCAGGTGGCAATGGGATGACATTTGATACCAGACAATAAAAATGAGAATATCGCAAAGGACTGAAATTCATATCAAGGACTTAGCTTTGGACTTAGCTTAAACGGTTC